ATAGGTCAAAGCTTTCGAAGCTTCTTTTTTGTTCTCTTCTAATTTATCATCAAGAGCTAATCTGGATATCAATGCGAACCATTTTTCAATGTCATGTTCACTCAAAAATTCATGAAAATTATCAAAGTTTGCATCGATTAAAAATTGAATATGTGTTGTGAATAATCTTAAACAAACATTTAAAATATATTCGAGATTCGCGTCCGATGATGCTGGTATTGTTGTTAATTGTTCGATTAATTCATAAAGATATTTAAATGTTTCTGATTCTAATTCAAATGAAAACGATCCAGTCACAGAATTGCGTTCAAATTGTGATTTTGCATGAACTTGATTGTGTAAATCAATATGAACAAGTAATACTGAACATATGAATTGACCAGTAAACTCCTTTTCGTTTAATTTAATCAATTGTGTATTTGGATAGGCTTCAATTGACTTGAGATATTCCACAGCAGCCAGAAACCTCTGTTCGGTATTCAATTCTGTTGCAGTCTGCAACGCTTCATCTAGGAAAAAAGTCAAACTCAACAGGTCGAGAAGAATGTGATAGGCCAATCTGTATACAGGACGCTAAAATCGATCGATCGCTTTCAGGCAGTATCCCTTTGCCGTCAGATTCGAGAAAGTAAACGCATTTCATGCTAAATCTTTTCAATATAAATATTAGACAAATTAAGCACCAGTATTACTTCATCACTTATGTCGCGCAACCTTGGATTCCCTTTTCTATAGGCACGCTTCGTGAACTATCGACTTCAATGAGTTAAAAGCACTTACCAGCTCTGTTTTGCTCTTGTGTTGTGAGGCTGTTATTATTCGTCGTGTTCTGTGGTATAGTTGTTGCAATAGATGGTGTTTGCTTTTCTTTTTCAAATTGGTCCATCCTTATCATCAGATGTATATTCAATTTAACAAATAATTTTCGTACATCAAAACTATCATTTGTGATGAAAATTAATTTTCTTATTAACGGTAACATGTCTTTAAATGAGGCCTTCATAACAGACAAATTAAATAAGATCTTAATTGATTGATTTGCTGCAATTGGATTGATATCAGTTTGTATTGATAATTCCTGGATGTAGTCAGTTAATGGTTTTAAAGATTTAAATAAATTATTTGACCGTTTGTAAATATTGGATGAAAGATAGTTCAATGGAATTCGTTCTAAAAGTTGATTTTTCAAGATGAGCATTTGATGAACAATAGTAGAATCAGATTTATGCACTGATTTGAGTAACATCAATAGTATAGTTATTAAAGATTCAACAGCAAAAAACGACAGTTCTTTTAATTGTTGTTCATTTGATGCTTTTTCCGAATCGATCAATGCTTCAGAAAATATCGAAGCAGCTGCATTTTCATCGTCTTTTAATTTTGCAGCATAGGAATCTTTCAATTGTTTCTGTTTATTATTTATCGATTGTATAGAATTTTGTAGGCACGTGTTCTTCGTTGCAATATAATCGAGCGTTTTTTTAATTATTTCTACAATTTTTGCGTTGAATTCATTGACAACAGATAAATTCGAGGAAACAGATATATCATTTCGAATTTGATTAATCAATTTACCTTTTGCAATTAATAGTTCATTTGAATTTTTCTGACTATGCATTGAAATAGAATTTTTATTGATTTCTTTAATGATATCAAATGGTAAAAATAAATGAATATCTTCCGTTTGATCATCGGATAATACTTCTTTCGATTGTTGATTATTTGTTGACAATAAATCAGGTATTTTCAAATCAGTTAATGATACCTGTTGTCCCATATTTAACTAAATGTTAGTCAACTATATTAATACAATTATTTTGTAATATTGCTTACAATAATTCTAAAATTAAATATTCTCGTACATGGAGAAAACAAGTTTTTGTTTATGTCTCAACCCTTTCTATAAACGATGGTTTGGCCATTACGTTGACTTTGTTTATTTTCAGATGTTGCTCCCTTACCGTTTCTGTGATTAAAATTTAAAAAAAAGAAGGACTTATATAAATGATTAAATGCTATTTCGTTTTCTGGAATCATACTCATTGTTCTTATGAGTCAATCAAGTGAAATTTTCACGAAGGAAGTAACTGTGGGGAAATAGAATTGTGCCTGGAAATAAATTTTCTCAAATTCCTAAGAGTTATTCTATCTAACTTTTGATTAAAATGATTGTTAATAATCACTTTTACTAAACCATATTTTCTTTAAATGTACATTCAACTATTCTCTGTTCAATGATGGGACGTCTTGGGGAAAAGCTTAACTGTCGCAACTTGAAAAGGTGGAGTAAATATAGGTAGAAGATTATCACAGCGAACGCAATAAAAAAGAAACTATTATAGAAATAACATTTTTGATTGTTAAAAAATTATATTTTATTTTATTGGTTTGATGCTGTCATTCGAAGACCTTCAAAATAAAAAGTTAGATGAATTCTCTTTCTTTCTATGCAAAGGAAATGATTAGTCAAAGCGAAAATGTTACTTCAAACTTTTGAATGCATAAACAAAGTGTTTATTTGACTATGGTCGCATCATATTTTTCTTTTGTTGGCAAAAAAAATCACAAAAAAAGCAAACTAGAAAGAAAAAGAATGTTTTCGTACTTTATTGCAGCTTCTGAAGAAATCTTCTCGGTTGCGTTCGATCAATTCCTATTGAAAGTATGAATTGAAGTATTTTGTTGACGCACGCCGTATGTTTTACAAGAAGAAAAATATTACCCGTCCTGCGTTCGAATTTCAAAGACTTTATCTTGATCAATTTAAGAATGACAGCGAGCTACTAACATAATAATTAGTTTGAAAAGAGTCTATGAAGAGAGTTCATACCTTAGTCAACTCTCCCTAGAAGAATCCCCAGGAGTTCCTAGGGGTTTCGTTCTTTTTCGGGGATTTCCTGGGGACTCCCCGGGGAGTTGTCTGGAGAAAATATCTAATTGCTAGTAAATTCTTCTTAATTTTTTAAAATTTAAAAAAATTTAAAAGTTTTTTTTTTATTTTAAAAAATCTCATCGATTCTCCCAGAGAAATCCCCGGGGAGTCGTCGGGGGATAGTGGATTAGGGTTTCTGATTTTCAATATTTTATGTTCTGAGACGATGTTATTTTTAACAGATTCATGACTAGTAAGCCGATATGGATGATTGCAAATAATACCTTCATTCATCTTAGTATCAGCTGATTGTTCGACAGGAGATGCACTCCTTTTTTTTAGTTGATGCAGGGTATGGGTCTTGTCTTGAGTCATACCCCTCCCCTACTTGGTGTTGTCATAGTTCTATTATGTGAAAAATTTGCAGAAGCCTGTAAGAGAATTTTTAGATTTGACTATAGTTCTAGGTAAAATCTAGTTTTCTCAGCAAAGACAAGAAATTTTTAAAATCTACGCGTATACTTAAAAAAAAGTTGATTTGGACTTCGCTAGAGAGGATGTAAAAATTTTCAAAAATAGGTTTCACGGGCTTCGAAAAACTCGCTGCGCTGCAGATTTTGACGGACAATGATTTAGATCTACAATAGTTTTAAAGACGTATTGTGATTTAGGTTTTCAAGCTGAGTAAGAATATGTCCTTTTTTGAATTATCTAGATTGATCCAAAAGTTCCAAAATTCAATTTTACAAAAACTATTCGAAAATCAGCTTTTTAAAACGCCTCAATTATTCTTTTCATTTTTCGAATTCCAGAAAACATCGAAATAACTGAAGGAACACATATTCTCGATGTGAACCTTACAGTAATAAATTCCGAACCATTCAGATGAATAAGTCTCATCAATAAACTTAATTTATTTCGATGAGTTAAACTTCCTTCTCTTTTTTTTGATTATTTTAGTAGTTAAAGACGTGAAAGAAAGCAGAATGACTCATCCAATTGCAAATAGTTGTTTGTATCTAGTAGGTGGCACATTCTTATTCAAAATACAACAGTATATGTTAACTAAGACCAAAACAATCTTTATCTCTATCGTTTTTTGAAGACCCTAATCGTAACATGACATTACCTATTAATTTTCAAGAACATCTGCAAGTCAAAATGTTGTCTCATCTATAAATAAATTGAATAATATTTTAATTTTAGTTGCAAATATTGGCTTCACTTCACTTCACTTACGATGGAATCCCATAGATTTATATGCGTCCGTGAGAAAGTTAATGATACAGACTGTTTTTATTATTATGACTGATCTATTACAACGGATTCAGCTATCATGGATCCAACAAGTAAAGTGATTGCATTGAAAGTAAATAATTTATTGGAAAAGCAAGATGAAACAAATTTTATTTAGTTGGTAGACATGACAAATTTTTAATATTGAGTTATATAATCGAATGAAAACATACACTATGATAGAAGATTGTGGATTTTTCGGTTTATCATAGAACTATGGAAAACGGTTGTCAACCGGTTAAAATCTTAGATCGTCATCAAAGTTTACTCGATTGTCAAATGATAAATCCTTACAATGGCTTCTTGTTAATGACAATAGAATTTCTTCATATCTGTTTGCTTTGCTATTGCTCAAGAACGTAGTGTTCCAGATAATATGCAAGACAAGTAAAGCTCATATTGAGTGCCCAGTTGGATTAGTTAAATTTAAGTGACGGATCTCTGTAAAATAATATTCAGTATAATATCAAAACCATTCTGAGCTAAACAAGATATCTGTAAACGATGTTTAGTGGCAAATAGCAATTGTATGATAGGTGTAAAATGTTGTTGTCTCTTCGTTTACTATATTTTATGGATTGCAACTATTCGCTTAGCGATCGATCTTGATAGTATTCTACGTAGAAGTCTTTTAACAAACTTGTTGATGTGAGATTACTACAATGATAAATATTTTATCTTTAAAAAATTCCTCGCACTCAATAAACAATAACATTTTCAAATTGTACTACCACAAAGAAATCAATCATTGTCGTGACTGCAATATTTCGGTATTTTATTGGACTCAAATAAATTGAATTATGTAAACTACGTAGTTGTAGTACAAGAGGAAAAACAATTGTTAGAACAATGGTGAAAAGAAGGCAAAGTGAAAAGATAATATTATCATTCTTCATAAAGAAAAAAATTTCTCATCTGCTTTTCCCCCTAATAGTTTGAATGTAGCGAACAATTAGGTGATTTTGTTAGATCAAGTGATCCAATATTAGTACTATTAGTTTATTTACTTGCCAATATTCCAATGAGGGCCCTACAGTACTTTGCTGAAATAGGTAAATATCAAAAGATCGTTTTTTATGCTAAGAAAATTAACTATCAACCTGATTATCTTTATCTGCTACGAAGAATCACGATCACGAAAAAAATCTCATTCAACAATGTATATCATTTTCATTTGATACTTTAAAAAATAATCGAGAAGATCAAGAACATTTACAAACACATCTATTAGAAATTTGCTGATGCTATTTTAGGTAATAATATGTTCACAAGTTGTTGTGTATAATATGATATCGAAGTTAAGAAATAGAAAATATCATTTATTTATACTCAGTAACATATCAAGTGCTTATAGATTATCAGCGAGACTGATTTCATTTTGATTACATAGAACCAAAAGTGAAAGAATCTATCATTGTAATGTAACAGTATTCTTAATTGTCAGTGTTGATTATTAAAAACTAGCGCAATCATAAGATCATTGAAAGTGTGTTTGACGCCCATTCGATTCATTATCTAAATTTCAGTGTTTCTACTCTTCGCATCGTTCAAAAGTAGACTCTTGCAGGGTAGCGTCAGGGTATTATAAAAAATATATTGAGTAGGATTAACAAAAGTTGATTAGATGATATTTTATTAGAATTTGCCTATGTAGCTGTAGAAGAAAAAAAAAGAAACTTTAATCTGTAGGACTCTATCCAGTCGACTATAACCCTTATGCAAAGATATTGACTACAAGACATGTGGAAATCAATGTAAATATTAGTCTGATTGCAATTCGTAACTGTAGTTTGTTCTATTCTACCATGATCACATTTCGATAGTGATAAAGTCTTTCTTTTCGAAGTTATCATCATTTTGTGAAAATTTTCAACCTATATTATTCTTTAGGGATACAAAAAATTGCAATGATTAGTTCAAATCTCAATAACTATAGACCTTAATCGTGTCAAGCTGTATTTCTAATACCCAAAGAAGACTGTAATCTAATCTACGAGGAATTTTACCTTTTGTCAGGGAACGATATAAATTTTAAAAAATTGAATTTTTTAATCTCGAACGATGAAAATTTTCTTGCAGGTTATCATAAATAATACACATAGAACTTGTCCGGCTAACTCTGCTACCGGAGAGTGAGTGCGTTACTATTTTTACGCATTTTACTTTTCGCATTACTTTTGAACATTTTACCAGAGAAACAGGGGCAACATTTTATTCTGTTCACTAAAATGTGCTCTACATAGTGTACTGTTCATTTTCCTGTCTAAAATATTCTTTCACTTGTCTTACGAAAAATGCAACGGAACAAAAAATAGTTTAAACATATTAACTACACTTTGTATTTTTCATAAGACAGCTGAAAGAATATTTTAGACAAGAAAAATGAAGAGTAGCTACACTTTGTTGAGCGCATTTTAGTGAACAAAATAAGATGTTGCCCGTGTTTCTCTGATTCTAATTCAAATGCGCGTGTAAATAAGACTAGGTATAGTGCATTTGATAAAACTATTATNACTTTGGAAATTTTTGTTTCAATTTTACTCCGATTTGAAGAAAATAGAAGAGATTTTTATTGATTTACTCCGATTTTTGAAAAAAAAACTCCCGTTCTCAAGTAACCCCCCTATACTTTTATTACTTTGCGCCGTCCCTGGATCAATTACCATTAGTTATTGTTTACTATCGATTCAATTATGTACATGATCTTGTTCTTTATATTTATATCGAAATAATTTAATGAAAAATATTGAAATTTATGTCCAATGAGTATAGTGAAGATTATATTGAACAATTAATTATTTTCAAACACGATAATTTTAAATTTGATGAACTTGTTGGAAAGTGAGATCCCAATTTAGCTTGCGTTGTCTATGAACGCGATGGTTGTGATATGAAATTTGTCATAGTAAGTTAAAATAATAATTTCCAGGAAAAAAAATTAACAAAAGTTTAAGATTGTTAGCGTCAGTGATGATTTATTCTGGCGTTAAACGAAGATTAAAGATGTTTTTATCGTCTAGGTAGGTAGAATAGCTATCCGGATAGCAGAAGGTGTGGACTCAAGTTCCATAAAAAACATTCTTTCTTCGCTCTGTCATATAACATCGGTGACACACTACTTGTCTTCTACATTCTATACAGATGAAAACTTATAGAAATGATGGCAGAAATTAATATCATGAAGTTCAAAAAATGATTCAAAAACACTTTTATATTCTTACTGTTTGACCGCAAAGATCTTTCATGTAGATTAATGCATATAGTATATATTTGAGCAAAATAAGATCTAAACTCGAATATTGTATTACGACTAGAAAATGATGGATTGTTTGAAAATTTAAACAAGCGTAGCTTACATTTCAGGACTGAATTTCATTTAGCTTCGAGTTTATTATGTCAGAGTAATTAGATCAAATTTAAATGTCTATCAAGAATACGAACCCATGACTTTCTAATTGCTGCAAGTGATCTGTAGTTCTTGGAGAAGAAATACTACTGGTCTTGATGAGTATTGTTAGGAATAATGTTCGATGATGACTGCCATAACTTTGTTTCATTTGAATTAGAATAAACTGTAAAAGAAATCAAAATTTATTTCCTCAAAATGAAAATCAGCATTTATTTTCATTTTCCTTGCTATCTTAAGTTTTTATGTGTTTATTTGAACCTTACTCGTATAACAGTTAAAACTGCATACAGATATCAGATGTATTTGAATCTTAGAAAACAGAAAGCTCATAGCTAACATTCTAAAAATTTCGTATAATTCTTATGGGTACCATTTACAGTTAGTTGATCTAACTAGAACTGTTTATCTAACCTGCTGTATGCTTATCTTGCAAGTTTGACATCGATATGATTCAATTTGAAGAAAACTCTTCATTTAACAATGAAGCACGTTATTTGGTACTTTATATCGTAGACCATTAATCGATCAAGTTATTCATATCTATCTTTACCTTAAACTCAAGACCCAAAAAAAGTATCAGTTACAATTAAAGCATTTATGACTGTTGACTTGCCAAATAATTTGATTGATTTATTAGAAGAAGAAAAAAAGAGTTATTTTTTCGCTGCTAACAACTGAAAATTGACCATTTCATTTCAATGGTGGAAGATTTACATCCATTCATTGTCACGCCCTAAAAATTCTACATTCATCAATTTTAAAAACTAGAATTCACTCGTGCCAACGCTAGCTCATTGAAGTTTACCATGCGACAGCAATAGTACGCAACTCAGTCATTCTTTTTTTTTTACTCATATATGACTCAGTTTTTCTTTTCTTCCAACAGAGGAAGAAGAGAACGAAAAATAAAAGTTATTGTTGCTGCCTTTACCTCATTTTATATACTTTCTGAGCCGTACAGGTATATAGTGCACCACATGCATTGGTATCAAGCGCTTCTTTCGTTTTGATTGTAGCAAAAATAGCTTAGTTGAAGTTAATTGAAAACTATATAGATAAAAAGAATCTTAGAACTTTCGTTGGAATATTTGAATCCTTTCTGAACATTTCTCATAACAGAAATAAAATACCAACTTGTTAGACTGTTTCCATTTTTAGCGGTTACCATTCTTTTTTTCTTAATTTTTACTGGTGAGAATGCGGTGCATTCTTTTTTTGATACATGATAATGAAATAATGTATGAAACCATCAACATGAGATCGTATCAACCAAAACAAAATATCACATATAATTAAACAAAAGTAATGTAAAAGATGAAAAAAAAAGTTTCTTTGTTATCATCGGGTCGAGACATCCATTCAAAATTGAAATGCTTCTTAAGTATCCACTTCTCAGAATTCATAGGAATATATCGATTGGAATCGTAAATGAGACTTCCTACGGTCAAGTAAAATAACTTGTAAAGCAATCCCAAAAATTTTGATGAAAAAAGTTCTCATTATCTTTCTGAGAAGTTGAAAGATCATATTGTTAGATGAAATAATTGAGAAAGACTTGAAGTCTATTTGAGACGTTTTTCGTTCTTCGACAGACAATTCACTACACACGGCATATAATTTTCTTGGAAAATATTTAAACTTCATGGGGCAACATACAGAAGCAGTTCACACATGGGAAGACGGTTTGAAATTCCTAGAATCGACTGTGGAACGAGTAAATGAGCTCGAAGACCACAAATTAATTGATTGGATCAATATATCCCTTCAAACAGCTCGACTTGCTTATCGTCAAGGTACAAGTCAACTGACTGATTTTTATTGTATCTCAATAATGTTTTCTATGGTCAGGTACTGATGGACCTGGAGTGGCGCACAAACAGAATCAAGTGTGTTATACGATGCTGAAAATGACTGATACCGAACAAGACGAGTGGAAGACTGAACAATTTCAAAGAGCAATAAAACATTTTAATGGAGCTTTGGAAAATATTCCTGCGAGTCACACAGGAATAAAACAAAGCATTCAACTTCCATTGGCTAGAGTTCTATTCGCCTTGAAACATTACGACGAAACTGTGAAAATCTACGAAGATGGTTTCAGTGTAAGTAGCATGAGCAAATTATTTCAAATGACGCTATTACTACCTTACCGTAGTGTTGACTACACGAAATTACGTCGTTACGTATATGATACTATTTATTAATTCTTTTTCTTTTTTTGAAAGAATGATGGCGATCCTCAATGGCTTTACAATGTTGCTGAATGTTTGTGGCAACATGACAAGAAAGAACTAGCTTATACAAGACTTCTACAACTCATGGGCACTGAACCCACCTTTGCAACTGCGTATAAGATGCTTGCAACTTATTTTACCGAGAAAAATGACAGAACAAGCGCTGCTGAATCAACTTGCAAATACAAGTTCTACTCCTGGGTTCCAAGTTTTTGTCATAATATCGAATACACTCTCGAAAATATTAGTATAGTGGAACAGCTGAGTTCTGATCAGGCTTTAGAATGTACCAACGCGACGCTAGCAAACGACAAATCAAAAAAAGCAACAGAATTTTTGGCGGCTATTTGTTACCATCACTATCATGGACCAGTAGAAAACAAAGCATTCAAAGAGCTCGAAAAGCGAGGTAACGCCTCCGAAGGTGCTGACAGAGATTTCATCGGATCCAAGCTAATCCATTTGATAAAAAAAATCATCAGAGCGTGTGTACAGTGAAAGGTGCATCAGATGCATTGGCCGGAATGAAGCATGAAGATTTATTTGACATTTTATAACGTTTATTGCCTAAAGACGTAAGCTAATCGCTTTCAAAGGGTCGATTGGCAAAGTTGCTAATAGCAATTTAATTCATTGTAAGTGAATACTTTCTTTCCGATGCATATACCAACAGCTCTGGGTAAATTAGGTGATCTAAGAGCTATTCCTCTTTTGGAAAAAAATATCAAAAGATCAATAAGCGAAAACAGTGATGTTTATGAAAACGACTCATCGAACTGACTATTCTCTTCGTGTGAAAAAGGTCGATTGGCTGTTGAGTCTTGCTTAGCACTTGAACCTTTCATCGGTAAATTTCATCAATCGCTGTTTTTGTTATACTGGCTGATCTTTATATTTCTAAGATAACGAGAGAGCAAAACAAATACTACTGGTTGGTATCAACTATCCACAGACTCGCGAAGCTTGTCTTGCCGTTCTCTGCATTTCCACGAAGGAAAACCAAGTTTTTGAGAAGCTGGAGGAAATGTTAAAACAGCGTGAAACTTTATCCTATACGGTACAGGCCTATGTGATGAACAATGCTTAGAAATCACGTTATGCTGAAAAACTGTTGGCGCTGAATAAGGAATTTTGCAACAAGACAGAGCTTATTAATGATGGTGATAATGAGATTCATGAATAATTTTTATACACATATTCACTAAGTTTTTAAATAATAAAATAAAAATTTTTTTTGTACATGCATCAAGAAAATGAATTACTTACATATAGTAGGCCAGAAATATAACGTATAATCGAATGAAATAGATTGAAGTCTATGAAAAAGAATACTTGGAATATAATCTAATCAAATTTTTGTCAGGAGTTTCTAAATTATCTTTGATCTCTATTATGAATAAAAATATGTGTATTAAGACCATGAATTTCGAAGTATTTAAAAGTACTGAAATATTTAAATTAGTGAGATCACGCAAAAAGTCAATTATAGTAATCGAACCAAGAACATATTTCCTATGCTGTGCTATGTATGAAAATATTTTTCAAATGACATCGAAAGTGACAGCTGATGGTGTGGATGTGGAGTTGATATACTGATCAGACTCATGCCCAAACCTAAACGTGCTCAAGACCAATGTGGACAGTAGAAATAAACTGATTTTTCTTATCAACAGAATAAAGCGTTGTGAAAACATTTTTAGCGTTGTTTTTCTAGTACAGCGCTCTTAGTATATCAGAATGCATTTCAGAAGAATTCAAAACAATGTCTTGCAAACGCGCTTTTTAATTTCAACAACGCGTTCGTGTCCGTTCTTTTTTCTATGGGCACATCGTACGAGTATGTATACTGCGAAAAAAAGGCACCCTTTTTCACACTCATATTATCATCAAAAGCATTCTATGTTTTCATAGCTTTCTTTTCTTTGGAATTTATTATTTCAACTGTTGCTACAGTTCTCTTCTGACATACTCGAAATATGTGTCAGTCACATCCATCGATTTCGCTGACTGTTTATTCATTTGTTTCTGCGTAGACATTGTACTTTTGGGATTTCATATAGTAATCTACATAAAGGCATGAAGATGCAAAGTTTCCGTATTTTTCACAAAGAAAAGGGCTAAAAAAATTCAATTTTTTTTCGATTTTAATCGAAGAAAGTGAGTTGCATATTAAAGTGACTCTAATTATTTATTCCATCCTATTCTGCAGTGAAATATGAGTGATCATAGGCTTTTTTGGTCTCCAGCAGTTCATCAAAGCGCATTTGATAAACAGTCGTGCTCAGCAGAGTAAGATCTTCGTTATGTGATCCTGCTTGTTAGAAGCTGTTTGTTTATTTCAGAAAACAAAATGTTTGGAGGCCATCTGCGATTGGGTTTGTCATTGGAGCGTTAGTTGTCGGAATTGCTCTGGCTGCAATACTAACACTGTATCTCTGTGGAGTAACTAAGAACAGTATGTATAGGAATTGACAATTTTTTGAGTACTATCAGAAAAACAATTTGACTCTCAATTTGTAATGGGCACTTCAACTGAAAGCTTTTTTTCTACAAAAACTTTCTACCTAAATCGAACTCGAATAGAAAGAAAAATTTAGAAGAAAAACTGATCAAGAAAGCTGAAAATAAAAATAATTTTATTCGAATTCTAAATTATGATAGATCTAGAGTTGTCATACTAACTATGAAAAAAAAATAAGAAAAAAAAATATTCGAACTAAAAATTATGATTCGAGCAGGATTGTGCTAGATTGCTTTTTTTTACATTAATGAATTCATTTTAAAAGGGAACAAAATAATTGATCAATAAAAGAAATCAAATGATCAGTTTATTCAATAGAATTAACAGCAACAAATACACATTTGATTAGTAGAAAAATTAGGTTGTCTACATCTTTTCCTTTTTCTTTTCAATAAGAACTGCTTTTGTGCTGGCGATGTTTTGCAATATTCAAAACGAATAGACATACCAATAACTTGCTTGCAACTGTACTTCTTTACTTTTACCTATTACTAAACATCAAATATTGAATGATTTTTACGAATTGATTAAACATTGACAATGATTTATTTTATCCTTTCATTTATATCTAAAAGAAAAATGCCTTAGATCACTAGCAAGCGATTGAACTACTTGAATGCTCTGGTAATCTAAAATTTACTTTGCCGAAAACTTAACAGTCATCTAGGACATGTTAGTTCTTAAAAGAAAATATTTTTGAAAGGTATTTATTCCTATTCACAAAACTCCGTGTAATGAAATATATAAGACAACAAAACTCAGAGAGGCTTGAGTCCTATAGAAGCCTACACTTTCAATTTCTCGAAGTCATTAAAGCATCATTGAATACAGATACAACGGTGACTACGACTGCCATTACTACAACAACTACCTCAATCGTCACATGTACGAAATTCTCGTGTCCTTTCATGTATTGTCATAATAATACATCCTTCTCTATCTACTTTCTTAGTTGCTCCAGTCGGTATCTATGCTCTCAACGTTCCAACATTTGCTACGTGGAATTCTACGGGCATAACCGTTGCCGGCAATGCCAACGGAACATCAGGTTCTGATCTTGAATCTCTCAGCTCTCCGACTAGTATCTTTATCGACAACAATAACACATTGTACATAGCCGATCGAGATAATAATCGTGCTGTGAAATATTTTCCTAGCACCACCAGTGGCATACTCGTGGCAGGCAATGGTACTCCTGGAAACACGCCTTTTCAACTCTACGCACCAAAAGGCGTAGCTGTTGATCAATACGGAGCTGTGATTGTGGCCGACAGTAGTAACTATCGTATTCAGAGTTTTTCACCGGGTACAGTTTCAGGCACGACAATCGCAATCAACAGTTCATCGAATATTTTGGGAGTAATGCGAGATTTGAATATTGATGTCAACAATAACATCTACGTCACTGATTCTAGCAGCAATCGAGTAACTGAATTCTTTCCGTTCAATGGGATTGGAGTGCCTCTAGTAGGTAGCAATGGAACGGGTAATGGTCCAACGCAACTATCAAGTCCTTATGGCAACTTTGTGGATGCCAATTCATCTCTCTATGTGGCAGATTTAGGAAATCAAAGAATACAAAAGTTTCTATTAGGATCCAACATTGGTATGACTGTAGCTGGCGTCTCAAACACGCCTGGTTCTACATTATTACTTTTAAATGGACCTATATCAGTCCCTGCCGATAACAATGAGTACGTCAGAGTGTTTTTTTTTATCGACTATAAGAATATAAAATACTTTTATTTTTAGGTATATATATATTGTCGATAGCAACAATGCTCGAATTATGCAGTGGACAACAAATTATACTGCAGGTGGTACTTGTTTGATCGGTTGTGGTGGTACTAGGGGATCAAGTCCTACTCAGTTGTATTCTCCAAGAGATGTGAAGTTTGATCAATATGGAAACTTGTACGTGTGTGACCAAGGAAATCATCGTATTCAGAAGTTTCTTATTCAACCAATAACATCAACATGTCCGCCACCTAGTAAGTATAAACAATATCTAGCTTCCACTAAATTCTCAAAAATCTCAGTCTACACTTTTTATGACTTTTGTTAAGCAAAGTCTTCAATTTAAGATAAATCTGTAATTTTTATTTATTTTGTAGACTAAAATTTGCCATTTTTTAGGTGGATAAGAGCCTTAACCATTACAAAATTATCATCTCATCATGAATATCAATATTCAAAAGAAACTATTGAATAATAAGACTCGTTTTTATTCATATCTCTTTAAATTCCTATGTCGTATTTTTTATTTCATTTCTCTTCGAATAAAACAATATGCTACGGCAAGCGAAGTGTTTGTTATTACTGAGAGAAGAATTATATGATACGGTTGTAGATGTGAATAAAACGAAGATCTCATATTCAGATCAGAATCCAGTTGTGACACAGAAATGTACAGTAAACTGATTCAACCCTTTCATCTTTTTTTATCAGCGATAGATGAAGTTGGTTGCATTTACTTTTATCGATTGAGTTCTCAGTTAACCTTGAGATATAAAATTCAAATATTTCAATTTATTCGAAGGAAAACAACTGCGAAATATGGTCCTAGTTCAGCATTTGCAAATTGAGAAGGCCAATAATATCGCTATATATTGTCATAGGCAAGAGAAATATTCAGTCACTGTATATTGCATAGTTTGAATATATAATTAATGCCACTGTTCATCTTTCACTGCTGACGACTTTTCCCTAAATCAACATAGAGATATCATTTGTAGCATTTTTTCGAAAAAGTGCCGACTGCGTTGATAAACAATTCTCGTGTGCCATCTTTATAATATTTGTAATCTTGATTGTTATGTACATGGCCAAAACAATGAATTTTTGGTTTAATTCTTCGGTGAATTTTTTCTGTCAACCTTCCCTACCCCCAACGTGTGTAGTTCCCATAGTTTATATTATTACACATTTTGCATGGCTTCATTAGCTTACTTCGTGGTGGATCATAGGCTAAATCGCAAATAAATAGTAGTGTCTCATGTGCCATTAGGATATCAATATCTGACGGAATCAAATGACAATGTAAAGGGCGTGGATGTGGCTGTGTGAACGATTAGACGCATTCCCACACTGTTAGTGTCAGCGATTGGTCATTCTGACGCTATAATAATATAAAAATGGGTCTTCTAGTCTTATTGGCTTAGGGCATCTGACTGTATATCAGAAGGTGTGTGTTTTGTAAGTCTCACGAAGGTCGCCTTTTTCTATATTCTCGTCTTTCACTCCATATCCAATCCGCCTGACTCATATGTGTGAGCTCATATACAATGGTATCATGAGAGGATACAATTAACTGCACAATGTATACCACTAGAAATTCTTCGCCATCTTATATCGTTCATAATCTTTTTAAATCTGAATTCATAAACGACTCATTTTGTCACCGTACGAAGTCACTTTTTCCACACCCACACCCAAACAAGTGTGATGTAAAAGTATTTTTAGATAAATGTTGCAGTAAGTTTCAAACATGGCATTGGCTCATCGACAACAGCTAGTACTATGTAAGGCTATTGGGGCATTTTCTTATTTCAATATGTATCGATTCCAAGCAAAGACAATAAAACTCGAATTTGTTGCAAAATCAAGGTTGTGTATATATGAAATGAAAGAGAATCTTATCGCGTACTAATTTAAGGGTGCTCTTTTCATTGCTTGCATCGTGTAATCAATCTCTATTTTTTCGATTACTTTGCTACTTGTTTTATTATCATCATCATCATCAGTGGATAGAAAGAAAAAAAGATAGAAGCTGTCTTCACACCTAAAACTATTAAAGTTGCCTTCACTAATGCCTTTCAACTACATAGATAACGATGCAATTGTACGTGCTTTTAATACGTTTTGTTTTCATACTTGAATTTGTAATACCTAATCCAATTAACAAAGATTCATTGAAGTACCAGAATATACATCCAATCGAAGAGACTCCCGATGACACTGTTGCAATAAAAACAGCCAAAGATGCTTTCAAATTTCTTACTAATTTCGGCTATAATCCATGTGAAAATCCTACAAATTCCAAATCAGATAATTCTGCAAGTTTATCCTGTCATTTGAGTATGGAAGCTATGCTGGAAAGCTTTCAACAAAAGAATCGTCTTCCTGTAACAAAGAAACTTGATGTTCATACATTGAAGTTAATGAACACGCCAAGGTGTGGTGTACCCGATTCTCTAGCGGAAATGACCGACCGCAGTAGCCTCTGGTAATGATTACTTTTACGTTGTCTGATTTTACCATAGTATCAATGAATGTACCCTAGAATGTTTGATAAAGCGTTGTGAGAATAACCGATATCTTAGAGCATATGAAAATGGTAAATAACAATCGGCTTTTACGTTTACATAACTGATTAATTAATCTCTCCTAATTGTTTTACAAATAATAACTAATAATCTATTCTAGTGAATCGATGACCTGCTCGAAAACTATTTTAATAATCTGAATGATAGCACTTATGGATTTTGTTTATCCATATGAAATATTCTTATCGTGTACCACACAATCTTAATAAACTGCATTGCAAGTGTCCACGTTTTTGAAAGAGTCTTTCATCCGAACTCTATCAGATGTCATGAATCATTGGTACTATGATTTTAGCGAAGTTTTTTTAGGGGAATCAATTGAATTAGCATTTTTTTTGTAAAGAAAAGAAGTTGAAATGGATAGCTGCAGAAGATTTCTTCTTTTCAAATACGTTTAATATAGTAGACGAGTAGATTATCGACGTCCAAGTAATTCAATGTGTGTTCATAAACATAATCATACGATTAAGCCATCAATTCCTATTAGAAACTTGGCGATATCAATAGATTGTAGCATTCATCGTATAAATTTACAATTTATTCCATTCAGAAGAAGTAATGACAATACTGTGATGATTAAATTGACAATAATAATAATAAGTTCATATGAACTGAGTCAATCGATAGATTCATCATTTTTTACTATTATTAAGCATACTTTTTCTTAAGGCCAAAAAGTCGCACATTGACGTGGAAATTGATAGGAAATAGTTCACACGTTAATGAAGTGGCAACTCAAAAAGTGATTCGACAGGTATTTACTGACTGGGCTGATTACAGTGGACTAACTTTCTACGAAGCAAAAGAAAACGAAAGAGCTGACTTTAATTTGGCTTTTGTCAGTGGTGATCACAGTGATGGATATCCCTTTAATGAGCCTACTTCAGTGCTAGCTCATGCTTTCTATCCATCGGATCCAAAGTCCCGTGGAAATGTTCACTTCAATTCAGCGAAAAAGTGGTCAAACACGTGAGTAAACACTTTTATTATTGTGCACAGCAGTGCTTTGTTTTTAATGTAAAGATATGATGGTTTCGGCTACAACATACGTGTGACTGCTACGCATGAGATTGGACATAGTCTTGGTCTTCCACATTCAGACGAGTCTGACTCAATAATGTACCCAACATATCAAATAATTCAGCCCGAACAATTATTGTCCGAGAAGGTCAGTATCGCAGATATTTGGTAGCCCCGTTTTCACGTTAGGTGTAGATTCGTTTGAATCGAGTGGCCTCTCGTCTTCAATTATTTGCTTATATTATAAGACGTATTCAGAACTTACATATATTTCAAGGTAGTTAACAAAATATTTTTGCATGACTTTGATATCGAAAGTTTTTCGAGATCTCTATGAAATTGTGCAAAGCACGTTAGATAGTTGTACATGTGTGAGAAAAACTTAAACCCGACGAACAATCAGATAGATTCGATACTATGGCACGTCTGGACAAAAAAATGATCCTGAGTAGATGTTAAAGCGTAGTGAAAGAGAATTAAAACAGTTTTCATGTCATAATCGTCAATCTTGATAGTAGCATACTAATGGTAGTGTGCTACATTGAATTTTACACATCATATTATCAACGAATGATTAGATAACGAATGAATTTGACATGATCTTATTTTCATTTGCCGAATAATTATGATTAATAACAATAGCGTGCAGTAGAGACACAATTAAATCATTATAGGGATACACCGAAAGCGTTATGGTGCTACCATTATTTGCATAGCCTGAGAAAATAATTTGCAATCTTTATGCTTCTGAATTCTAGGATAGACAACGAATTCGTACGCTCTATCAAAACGATGCGACCTCAACAGATACTGAAGGTATGTACAGTTATTGTTTTTGATTAAAAGAGATTCGTGCCTATTATGGAAAATTCATAAAACTCCTTGAACTGCACATTTGCCTCACAGGCTATTTATTTCGTTAAACATTTATTAAAACGAAACTTCGAGTGATAGAAATATTTTTCACTCATTCAAAAAACAAATTTGGTTCTTACGCCCTAAAATAAGATCGTTTTTATTTGATTTCGTGCCTCTTTGCTGCTCTAATTAGTTTACATGCAATCAAAATTCAACAGTTGAGTGTTGAATTTATGTGAGTACTTCATTTGAGCACTTCGTATACTAAACAATGTAAGCTTTATTTCGATTGTTACTAAATCGAATGGCTTATCCTACTTCTTGAAGTCGATGTGCCAGCCTGGGTACAAAATAAATCATTTCTTCCGAAATAAGCGCAAATTATCAAATTGTGAACACTGCACTTTACATCATTCATTTCTTAATTCACTTTGTTGGCCACGTGCGAAAATTTTAAATGACTTGTGGAACTATTCACAAAAAATTTGGTAGCTTTACCAATTTCTACTAAGGGAAAATGCGATGAACTGAGAACTTCTCTACATTAACTGTACCTTTCTGAAAGTTCCATCAAACAATTAAAACCTGTCCCTTTTATAGCTGATGAAGACGCAAAGGATAGTGATCCGAGTATCGTCGAAGTAATTTACTATCCAGATGGAAGTCGATATGAAGGAGCTCTGGAAGATAATAAGCGTCATGGTAAAGGTAGCTTCTATCGGGCGAACGGTGAAAAATATATCGGCACTTGGATGGATGACGAAATTAATGGACAAGGTGTATATACATGGCCAAGTGGTACTCGATACGAAGGAAACTGGAAAGATGGAAAGCAATATGGTAATGGTACGCTACATGCAAGTGATGGGAGAATATATGTAGGTCTCTGGATCAACGGTACGATGGATGGATATGGAATATGCACATGGTCAAATCGAGATCGCTACGAGGGATATTGGAAAAACAGCAAAAGGAACGGTTATGGTATGCATTATTTTAGTGATGGCAGAAAGTATACTGGCAATTGGGTCAATGGTATGATGAATGGGCATGGAATATACACATGGCCAAACCGTGATCGATATGAAGGAGATTGGGAAAATAGAAGAAGGCATGGGTATGGTACTATGGAGTTTTCGGATGGTAGAAAATACGTTGGTTATTGGTGCAACAACACGATGAATGGGCATGGAACTTATACCTGGCCCAATCGTGATCGATACGATGGACATTGGAAAAACAATAGAAGAGATGGGTATGGTATTATGGATTTCGCGGATGGAAGAAAATATATGGGCAACTGGTTTAACGACACGATGAATGGACAAGGGAGTTGCACCTGGCCAAATGGTGACCGGTATGATGGATATTGGAAAGATGGCAGAAAGGATGGCCAAGGTACATACTATTTTTATGATGGCAGAACAAGCAATGGCATCTGGATTGACGATATAATTCAAGAACCTGAAGCAATTACCACACCAAGTAGCAACCATGAGAAAGAGCATACAACAGAAGCTATTCCACAGGATCAAAGTACATTTCTTTTAGCCAACGGAGCAGAACAAGATTACACACGTACTAGCGAGAATGAAAAATTTGAAGAAGCTCCTCGCAGGTCGATTTGGTCTCGATTTAAGAAATTAGTTGAAAAAGCAATCTTATCCTGACTTAAAATTAACCGTTGTTCATCACTATTATTAATCTTTATCAAGTGATAATTTCATTAACGATGTGAATTCTTTTTAACTTCGATTTTCAATGTAATCCTATTACATATAGTGATGTATGTAAGCGGCAGCCATTCATGAAATGAATACTTTTAGAGATATTTGGAAGAGAATTATATGTAAAACGGGATTGATCTATCTTCGTCATAACAAATTTTGCCGTTTCATATAGCGGATATTTTTCGTGAGCTCAGAAAATGTAACCGAGCCAAAAATACAGGAATAGGTGTGTGCAATCATTATTTGAGTAACATGAAACAACCGAGACATCTAGAACACGTAAAATTCCTTCGAATGACCAACAGGGCGAGTCAAACATGATCTACCTATGCTTCTACCATATTGGTTCACTTTCCTAGACAACAAAAAAAACAATATTTCGATTTATTGTTTTCGAACCTCAACGAGTTAAAACAATTGCATAGGAACTTATACTGAAAGAAAACTCTCGTATGCGCACAGTAGGTGTTTCGATAAATTAAAATCAGTTGATGCATGTCATTATCAATATTGATGCTATTATTCTTCAGCCAGCTCTTTGGTTTTAGCCCATCCAGTCGAGTTCAACCATTTTGACTGATTCTCAATCATATTAGAATTTTATTATCAGATAAAAGTTTTATATACGACAATAAGTGTATCAAATGAAATCTACCTGTGTAAGTTTATAATCTAAAAGCAAGTTTTCTACAATAGAAAAGCCGACACCAAAATTATGAATAATAGATAGCAACTAGAGTCTGCAAACGATGCTTGATTATGCCAGCTATCACCATCTTTGTCACCGATATCTAATAAGTTTTCAAATGCCAATGATTGAAAGAGCTCAAGACGATGAAAATCAGGTTTAACACTGTCCATTGGTGCAGGATAGAGTGCTTCATAAATACGTTTTTCACCTTGACCATGAATAGCATACGCATTGAAAAGATTAATGTGAGCAGGAAAATGAGCACGGGGAACACTAGCTTGACCGTACCATTGATCTAGTGATTGATGTTCAACTCGATAATCAGTTATGTTTAGCATATTCTTTAACACTTGGCGTCGATCAGTCAATAGGAGAACAAGATAATGACCGTGTGGTGAAAATTCAAGTTCAATGTAATGATTTGTTGAAGATGACAAGAAAAATAGTTCAACAACTTCATAATCCCACAGATTTGCGAATGGACCAGCTGGCGCCGATGGAGAAGGATCATTAAAAAATGGTGCCTGAATTTCGATCAGTAGATGATTTTTGTCAAGCGTTGATGAAAGAGAAAGTTGAACAAATCTATCACCACCAATAAGAGTTGAATTCCAAAGAGTCGTGATGGTAAAATTCATTGAAGCATAAGTTTTCGAAGGTCTTAAGCTGAGAAACAACAGAAAATAGACAACGACGTCATTTCGTATCTTGGTTATCATCATGCACTTGTTTATTACGAATAAAAACCAGTGAATGATAACTTTTATAGATTTCATTGACATTATACAATAGTAATAGCAAATAGAAGAACAAGAAACAGAACAGAACAGAACAAAAAAAGAAACGAATATTGAATCAAGTACTATTCGTCGTATCAATTGTTGGAGAGATATAATCTCGTGGATTTTAACGTATTGTATATCTTCCATTCTTTTTCTTTTGTCATAGGCGACTTTCTATATCCAGTTTCACATCGACTTATCGCTTCGTTCCTCACTCATGGGAACTAACTGAATAATTCTCTTTTCATGCCTCTTGAATAATATTCGTAGCGAACGTCATTGCTGTTCAGTAGTGATTAGTTGTATGATGGTATACGGAGAGTGAAGTTATTCGTTAACGTTGCTTGAAGTAGTGAGATAAGATTTCACTAGTTTAATACTAGTGTAATTATTATTCAATTTTCGCTTTATTTATTGAAAAATGTCTGATTCAACAGCGCGTTATTCAGAGTTAGGATTGTCCAAGTGGACATCCAATCGATTGCATACTTATGTATGTAAATATCATAGCATGTTCATAGACTTACTATTGCATCAGAGAGTACATTCACAAAATAAACTATATAAATAAACCTTTGCCAATCGAATATCAAGATTGAAAACATTTCCCGGAATTCGAGCAACGATAGAAAATGAAATCAATAATTTTTCTTTTCGTATATCAACGAGTTGTAAATAAAAGTCAGTACACACTGTTAATAGTATAAGTGCAATGAGAATGACAATGAATCAATATGGAATTTGTTTTATCGCCACGGATTTTGCTTGTTTCTCTTTATTCAAATTCACATGTATCGAAGATGATATCAATAATTTCAATTTTCGTAACAATTCAACGAACTGCCATTGTTTTTCTTTTTGTCTTTATGAGTTGGGTCATTTGGTGGGGGATCATTCAATTGTCGTCAAGAAACCTTCTCTCTATGCACGATATTAAAAACTGATAAACAAAACTATTTTCTTCTGATTACACTTCAGGAGTAGCTATTATACACACGAACATTCTTTTCGGCACACAAATAAATTACTCAAACAATATTAGTAAACTGTATATTTCGATTAATGAAATGCATTCTGTTTTTCCTCACGGAACCATCATTTGAAGATAATCACAGTCGAAATTGGTTAACTCAAATATAAAATATGACTTAATAAGTTAGATGAATTGAAATTGATTTGTTTCGCTTGCATTATAAAATTTGTTAGAATATTTCGAAATCAATTAATTGATTGATTCATGTTTTTTTGATCGCAAGCTGCGCTTGAAATAATGTTGTTATGTTTTTACGCGCCCCAGAAAATCACAACAATGTGTAGTATTGTTTTTTTCTGTTTCTTATCTGTTTTTCGAGGGAGTGAATGAATAATAATCAAAATATCATTCTAATTCGATGGACTAGTGATTTTTCATTATGTAATCTTTATTTTGTTTGTCGCCACTTGCTTTTTATGAAATCTAAATGGAATTGTTTTGCTTGAGAAGAAAAGAACAGCGAGCAATTTTAACGTGACTATAGGAAAGCAAAGAAATAGCCTTGAAAAAATAAATCATACTCCAACTTTTTTCTCAGTCGCATGCCATTTACTTTGTATTTTCCTTACAATACCAAAATATGAGCAATTTCTGCCAAAGTTCTAGATACAATTTTTGCTATTGGTTTTGTAAAAAGTAATTAATACGTTTGAGTCGGCGTGAAAATAAAAATAAATAACAAATTTTACCCTTTTACAATAACTAAAATAACCAATTTTAACATCGATTTTTTTGTAATCAGTAAATGTCGAAAAAGAAGAAAGGCCGTGTGTCTATGGAATTAACTGCAAAAGGTAAGTTTTCGTTGTTTAAGCTCATCTATGATCATTTTTCTAGGATATTTAAGAAATTGATGTACTCCTAAAGGCTTCACAAATTAGCGAAGAAGGTAGTTTTATTTACTGGTTTGCATATTTAATACTTTTAATGTTCATTTTTAACTAAAGAAATCCAGCATTGGCATGCAGTATGTATTCACTTGAATAGTATTTTTCTGTATGTTACTTTTTATTATTATTGTAGAATTTTCTTCATCATTGCCCATCGGGTCGATTAGACAAAAAAGAATTTGTTGAATATTACAAAAAATTGTATCCACGAGATCACACTGCTAAATCACTCGAGTATATTCATATCTATTGATTTTGTTTTTTTATTTGAACTTTTTCTTTGCTACCATATTTAGAGATATTTTTGATATGATCGACGTCAACAAAGATGGTCGAGTTGAGTTCAATGAATTTTTAATCGTTATAGCTATGACTGATCATCTTAACGATTTAGAATCACGTCTTTCATTTGTATTCGATATGTAATTAGACAGGAAGCTTATTTCTAGTTGATTTTTATATTTTCTTTATTAAACAGGTGGGATGAATCAGAAGATGAACTTATCGATCGAAATGAACTGACTAATATGATATCGACCATTGTGAGAGTTTATCAATTTGATTAGTTGTCGCGTTGATATTTACTTTTTTTCGTCTTCTTTTTAGTATGATCGTGCTGGTATTAAGAATCGAAAAGGTGATCAACATCCGAAAAAACGTGCAGAAGAAATAATCGCTAAACTCGATGTTAGTGGCGATAAGAAATTGAGTAAAGAAGAATTTATTAATGGGTATGTGTTTAGGAAAATCTAGTTTTTTAGTATGAACAATATTCTTTCTTATTATTTAGATGTAAGAATGATCCAGTTATTCGTAATTTACTTGCCCCTAGTACATGAATATTTGTCAGAAGATGACTTCTGTATTTTTCTCAATGGTTTCAAATAAATCTTCACGTTTCATATCATTAAAATTTGATTATTGTATCAATATTAAAGAAAACAGTATGTTTTGTTAAAACATTTTGAAAATGAGAACATTTCAAGGGATCTTTCATTCATAAAAATTAAGCAATGTTACGCATTATTTTCGGTACAGAATGTAGTATATCTTCTAAGTTCCAAAAGATGGTTGACGCATATAAACTAAATGTTAATGGGAAAAACGCCTAATCGTATTATAAATGGTTAGGTGGCTCGTTAATCATTAATATTAACAAATCCGATGGTACCTTTCAACAAGTTGCGATTAATACTAAAGGTTAAATAATTTTTCAATATTTAACACAGCACTAATGTAACCCAGGTCCATCATTCAGACCGTCTGAATGATGGTATTAAAGTGCATGAAACGGTTAAGAAACGGCGCAAATAATGCCCTAAACGATGACAAACGACCGCCGTTTTTAGCAGGTTTCCGTCAGCTTGGATTACGGGCCGTTTTTCCCCGGACCGTTTCCGACGAAAATGGGCAAGTAATAAAAGCACCTTATATTTTCCTCTATTCTGACGTGATCACGCCGTTTTTCATCATTTTGCATGAGAGTTACGCTGATCATTTATACTTTTTAAACATTTAATTTAATATTATAATTATATATTTATTTTCAAAAAAAGTCTACACACAAAATAACATGAAATAAAACAAAAAGCCATTGGAAAAGAATAAAAAAACACTGAAAGAATCCAAAAACTAAAAGAAATAAGCTAAAAGAAATATAATGAAATAAATAATAAAAGAAATTAACGTAGTATATCTCGGAGCGAGATTCGAGTATTTCGTGTAAGGATTCGTTAATACGTGGAACCAAAAAGCAAAAGAGGTGGACCAAGATAGAACTCGACGAGCTCTATTGACTGGTATCATTTTCAGCTCATTTACATGCCAAGAACCTCCCCAAAAATTGCTAATCAAGCCCAAGAGCTGGGTTTCTTTTGTAAAGCATGTAAGGATTCGCTAATCGGTCGAAGCAAGACGTGAAAATGACTCCAGTCGATAGAACTATCTTGAGGGTGTGCTGGTGTGTGGGTATCGCTACGGGTAGATGAATTATCAATACCAACACCCACACTCTGATAACAACACCCAGAACTATGCTACCGACAGATTCCCCGACCCGATTACCTTTGGTCAAACTTTATAAAAATTAAAAATTAAATTTTTTTGTAAAAAAACTATTTCAGAGTCCTGAAAAACTCCAATCTCAAAATTTGAAAAAGCTGATCACAGATTCAAATTCCCCAACCCCAATTACCTTGGGCCAAACTTTTTCGATGGCCTAGTGCTAAATTTCGATTGGTTTCGTAGATACTGAAATCTGATTGGTTTGTCAAACAAACTTTTAAGAATTAAGAATATTTAGTGAGCATATAACCCTTTCTTACAGAAAAGGGAATAAATTGATCTTGTGATTTTTGTCTTGAAAATCATTTAGATTATTTGCCATCTGATGATCTGCGTTGCTGCAGTGAAATCTAGATTATGATAGCTGTTCATACCTACACCCACACCCTCAAGAGTTGAGACTAGCAGATTGATTTGTCTTTTCGTTAAGACATAGGTTGATCTGTTTTTAAATTGATTTAAACGCGATAAATATGTAAGCGATAGAGCTACTGAAGTACATTGCGTTATTATGAATTTAGTGCACTGGGCGTTGAATAATTGTCATCATTCTTGTTCATACTTTCATTTTTGGCTAAATGTAATTTGATTTAACTGAATTATACTTTTACTGAGCCACACCTCTAGAGAATTTCTATTTTCTCGATACATGGAATTTGTATTCTGTACAAGCCAAGGAATGATCTTGTCAAACATCTGTCTCTGTATGACATGAAAATGGACACTTGACAAGTGATTGTTGAATTTCAATAGTTCAATAATTGTTTTCAATTGATGAGTATTATATATTGTTACCCGTAAATGTTTTACATGAGTAGGTATAATAGAATAGATGCTTTCAGCCGTTATCGCAGAATTTTGTTGAGAAAAACTAAATTGTATTTCGAGTGAAGAAATATTGCATGTTTGTTTCAATAGAGAAGCGATACCAGTCATCATGTCTGAATTGAACCGAATTTCGGAACTGTCTATTTTGAGGTAAACAAGTTGTGAAAGATCGATAAGGCTCGACAAAAGCTGAACCGTATTAAGCGGCCAATGCTTCTCTACCGTTAGTGCAAGTTGAGTCGTCTTGTGAAACAAATGATATTTCAGTTGTTCAATCTACAGAAAAAGTACAAATATAAAAATATTGACATTGTGTTTTACTTAAATAAACAGTTTTGCAAATAGAATCATACCGTAACAATATTCTATTCTTTTAATTATATGTCCGTAGGTGTGAGTAATAATTTTCAGGTCAATCGTCTCATTTAGATCAATCGCTACGAAGCTGATGAATCAGAGTGATTCGAACTTAACAGAACGAAAATATATCAAAAACGCTATTAAGGAAGCTTCAGCACATCCTTTCACCAACTCTGCATGGAATAATCAACGGCAACATCCATAAATTTCATTTATTTATGAATAGTGTGTGCTGAAACCGTAAAAGCAATTCGAATATATATTATTTCGTCGTCTTATCGTTCTACCGAATTCATATATTGCGTGGATTATGTTGTGTTCCAGTTGGAACATAATGTAACTTATCCATTCTGACTTAACTCGAATGGCATGGCTTCTCTCGTTGAACCATATTGTTTTATTGGAAATAACTCTTAAATGTATTGCACGCAGAATCAATTGATTCTAATTTGCCAGCGAACGTGACACTCAATACTGATCAGTATAAAACTTGCCTACTCTGTCGTCAAATCCTTCCGAGTTTTTTTTCTTGTTTATGTCATTTCCATCATATTTTCAAATAATAGTCAAGCGATTTGAAAGATATTTACTATCCTACCTGTAACTTGCTTGCAGCAGTCGTAGCTTTTCGGGTATTTACAAAAACGTTTTTTACATTATCCATCGTTGATATACCATCGCTAACTATTAGTGGTAAGTTTGAACAGGATACTTTTATCGCTTCGGGTTCGTAGTTGAAATACGAGCAGCAGACTGGTATTGAATATAGTCGAATTTCACTTGAGTTTTCAACACTATACTCACAAGTAATAAACCAACGTTTGTATTCCAGCCAGAAAGGTGTTCTAAACTGTTCAATTATTTCTTCAATAATATCTCGATTTCTCGAAGTAAGATTTTGTTGCCAGAGAAAAAATTCGAATTTGTTCAAAAGAGGTAGATTTTCCTGAATAAGCTGTTCGCATTGATTTCCTTGAAAGGAATTGTTGTTACCAATCAGCTTTAGATGAATAAGTGAAGGTGTTAATGACAATATTAATGCGAGTTGATACATTTCCATAGAGTAATCTTCGAAAGTCAATGAGATTATTTGTCGGCAAGGCGTTAAACTAGAAAGTTCGATAGATATAACATTACCCAGTACGAGTGTCCGCAAGTGAGATAATTGATGAAGAATAGAGCAGAATTCATTGAATTCTATTGATTTGACCATTCTAAGATATTGAACTGTGCATTGCACCGGCCAATTGACTGTTCTTATTCGATTGTATTCAATGCCTAAATGAAGTTTTCGAAGACTTAGTTGCATTAGAACTGACGATATAAGAGCTGCTGTTCTCTTTGTTTTGCGATGACTATACTTTGTGACGTTAAACGACAGTGCAATTAATGAAATAGTATTGATATGTTGTAGAAAATTATTGAGGTGATCTTCTTCGATTGCACAAAGCGTTAACGAACGAAGTTGATTGAACTGTCGAATACAAAACAACGACAAGAACAATTCAATTTGATCTGGTGTATGGCTGTCATCGGATAGTGTAAGTAAGATTATATTTGAGGGATGAATACTACTACAGATGATGTGAAAGTCTGGCTTTGAGATCGAACTTAGATTTAAATTAAATCGATCGTATGTGTTAACGATTGCTTTCAGTCGGCTGCATGTACTTCGGACGGACAGAAAAATCGTTGGTGCATCGAGATAATCAAAAATTTGATAGAGTAGTTCAACTGGTAGAGTGCTAAAAGAAGGACCGGCATCATTCGTCGACATATTGCCGTTATAATGTGTTCTTTTTCTTGCACATATTCCGACTTGATCTCATAAATTACTCACTTGCCTGCCAATAAGTTATTATTTACAAGTATGAATCATGGTTAGAAAGAAAAAAAATGGCCCTTTACTTCCGTCGTAGGAAGAAGAAAAAAAAAGAAATGTATGCAATACCTCTCATTTCGAAGAGTACATTTGAGAATACATCCTATTCCGCGATGTTGAACATTCCGGAACCAATTCCATGTAATTCCCAGAATTCCGTTTATCACTTCCAACACAATCCCGGAATTCCCAGAATCACTGCCGACCAATTCCATCTAATTCCCGGAATTCCGTTTATCCCTTCCGATTCAATTCCGGAATTACACGGAATTCAGTGCATCCACACCCACACCCTCAAGAACTATTCAAGAGCTTTTTTGATCTCTACCTTTATGCGTCAGAAATGACAGCCTAGACGCTAAGAGTAGCACTTTAACTTTAATTTTTTTTAAAGTATGTATCCTCAGAGCTGAGGAATTTGAGTGCATTTGGTTTTATTTTAATATTGGGAAATTGAGGAGAATTAGTCTCGAGTTGGTATTGAATGGATTTTTCGAAGTGGAATGTAAACTTAGCTAATTCATTGGAATATTTTTGAAATTTTTGTATTGAGAGGATTAGCTGTATGAAATGCATCGAAGATCAAATTGCTTTACGAATGCAACAATGTACTCGTACACCCAATGCACTCAAATTCCTCAGCTCTGTGGATACATAGATATCCATCCAACTTGGTATCCTATCTGGGTATTCATCTCGATACCCAAGATATGGATATTATGACATCCCTCACCTTTAAATGTGAATAGATAGGAATTTTTCGAAAATACGTATATATATATATGAGTGTGACAAATGTACCCTACCAAACTTTAAATACCGCAACTTTATATAAAAGTTCGATACTTTTTTTTACAGAAAATGCATACTTTTCACAATGCGTTCCTCCATTTCTATTCGTTTCACGCTGAGTGTTGTTGTAATACCACGCTGAATTTTCTCATGCAACGTCGGATATCTTGGAGCGGGATTTGAGTATTTCTTGTGAGGATTCGTTAATACGTGGGACCAATAACACAAAAGAGGTGGACGAAGATAGAACTCGACGAGCTCTATCGAATGCACTATTTACTTTTTCTTCAGCACCTTTTCTACCTGGAGAGAAACCTGAAAAACTGCAAAAAAAGGCAAAAAATTCGTAGTCTTTTCGTAAAACATGTAAGGATTCGCTAATCCGTGAGACCAAGAGGTGAAAATGATACCAGTCGATAGAGCTCGTCGAGTTCTATCTTGGTCCACTTCTTTTGGTTTTTGGCCCCATGTATTAACGAATCCTTACAAGAAATACTCGAATCCCTCTCCAAGGTATCCTACGTAAAAAAAAGAAGTAAAATACAACAATATAAAATAAATAAATAAAAATCTAAAATACAATAATCTAAAAAAGAAATGAAAATAAAATAAAATAAAGTAAGTTGAACGATAGTGTCTAAGTATCTATATATTTTATTCATATTTATATCTCCAAATAAATGAGATGTAAAACGGTAAAAAACGATCGCCTTAGAAGGTAGTCGTTTCCATCAACACGGAAATCGTTACCTAAAAGGCCACCGTTTTTCGCCGTATCACATCGTTTTCCGGTACTTCGTCGCTGACCATCTCCAGGTCTAACAGTACGGTCCGTATACTGTCGTTTACGGTTACTTTACAACTATGTTCCGGGCGAAAGTTTGCCATAATATCTGGCGCAGTAATACGGATCGTATGATCATGAGAGTACAGAGCACAAACAGTCGTAAACCACGCAAATTCAGTCCCGTTTACGGTGCCGTATTACTGTGCCAAGTATTACGGGCAAATACGGCCTATTTACTGCCGTAAATATACCGTTTTGACATCGTTTACCGTTGATAAACAGTCTGTAAACGAGTCCGTTTTGATCAACCTGGGCGTTCTATACGACATGGGAAATGGTTCATCTCTATAGTTATCCCTCGATGAACTTGCACAACGTAAATCTGTAAAGGTATTTTATTAGTTCGAATAAATGAAGTTTATTTTTTTACAGGATGTGATGAATAAAGTTTCGAATGATCTATTTGCTCACGTATTTCGATTTTAAAATAATTAGTAACTAAAAAACAAAATACATTTTCCATAATTGCTCGAAAGAGTTTTCAGTTATAAAGCATTATATCGAGTCCCGTTCTCTTCATCTGTTTGCAAGACACAATATAATTATCTATTCATTAGATTTTTCAGTCATTGATCATTATTTTGTTGTAAAGATCAGACTAAAAATAAATAATACCTTGAATATATTATATTTCATATGAATAATTTTCTGAGAAAAATCTCACTATTACATAAAGACCAAGGCACAATACAAATAATATAATACATCAATGTAATCAACAAAAGCAAATGTTCAAATCTAATGAAACAATTGATGTAAATTAGCTACACAAGTGCAAAGAAGAAACATCTAAATAATAATACCATATTCACCTTGATAAACCATCAATTAACATATGATTTCATTTGAATTAATGACATTTTTTTGTTTGATTTGCTTGAAAATTTACCAATAATAAAATCATCAACATTCTTTGGACTTATAGAAAAAAAAATTGTGCATGTTCATCATCATCGTCGGTATCTATAAATAAAATATTAAATATAATAATCAAAAATATTTCAACACTTACCATGATTATTTGTTAATTCCATCAATATCATTCGAGATTTGTGGCAACATTGTTGAAGTTCACTTTTACTAAAAAAAAAGGAATATTATTTACATAACAGCATTCAAATACACTTACATTTTTAATAATTCAAGTTTCTTGGACTTTGTAATTTGTTGATAGTTATTAATATCTTCAATGACATCTGAAACGAAAAACAAATAATTAAAGTAGAAGAAACTAAACAATTAAAACTTACTAATCCAATTTTTGTTTTCAAAATTAATATAAATACGTTTATAATATATTTAGCTGTGTCGTTTTCATTTGCTGATGGATCCTCGACTAATTCAGATAAAACCTAAAAAAAAAGAAAATTACATTGAGACAATATAGAATAACGAATAATTCTTACTTCAACAGTTGAATTGCTTTTCTTTTTGAATGATGTTGCCATCTCAACGCGTTCAGCTTGTTCAACTTTTTACGTTCATAACTGTTAATGATTGTATTTGTTTTGCCATTATATCAAATAGTATATCTGAACAATTTAAATAACACAATATGATTTTTAGACGTCGTACAATCGTCTTAATTTTTCCTTTTTTTTTGCTCCCATTATGGTAGTTTATTCAAAGTTTAATTTTTTATGGTTATCACGTAAATTCTACTGATTTTCTCAAGAACAAAATGGTAGATTTAATATATTAGAATCTAATTAATCACCAACGAATACAATAGAAATTTCATCAGAATTACATAGAATCATTCTTAATTGATTGAATTCTGTCAGAGTTCATGATTCACTTCTTCTTTGAGAATATGTTGATTCTATGTCTCTACCCAGGACGAGCTTTACGACGTCCGTATACGGTGAAATACGGGCCGTATACGACGGTAAATCGCCGTATTTGGCCGTATTACATGGCTCCGTATTACGATCGTAAATCTCCGTGTCGTAATACGGTGAAATACGATCAAAAACGACCGTAAAGCGCCGTATTTCGCCGTATACGGCACGGAGATTTACGATCGTAATACGGAGCCATGTAATACGGCCAAATACGGCGATTTACCGTCGTATACGACCGTGTATGTTCGACCTGGGTAGTCATTATAAATTAATATTTCATGTTTTTTCATACATCAATCATCAGAAGTTAATGAGTTTCGTTCGCTTCCTTATAATACTCTGGATCATAGCAGATCCTTTTATATTCTAATGTAATCCGATAGATTTCTCTGGATATTTATATAATCTAGTAAATTCTATAATATTTGAAATTAAGTAGAATTGATTAAAATTTTCTTTTTATTTATTAGTTTTTCATAAACGAATACTTTAAAAATATTATGTTGAAAATTGATTTATAATGAAGACATTTTATATTTATACATATTTTTCTCTACATAATCAATATTTAAACTAGGAAGAGATTAGAAAATATGAGCTACGTAGTTTGAAGTATCCAGTTGCCCACCTACAAAAATATTTTTAGTCTTACACTGTTCAAGTTTCTGTAAAAAGACAAAATATTTCTGTGAAATATGGTAAAAGGAAGTCATGAAAGAAACTATTTGTGTTCAAGCAAAGTGTCAATCAGAGCTTCGCGGGACGACCAAAAAGTATAGTCCCATCCCATCCTGCGTCCCACACTGCCTTGTCCTGTCCCGCCCACTCTCGTCCCATAGTATTTTAATGTATAAACACAATCCTTTCTTTTTATCTAAAATTGTAATTGAAGCATACTAGCTAATTGATAGTTTCTTGCTTAATGAAACTCACGCGTTTTATTATTTAAATATTGCACGATAGCGTTTAAATGGAAAAAATTTCCACCACAATAGTATTGATATAAGAAAGTCGCTGTTAAAAAAATAAAGAAAAGTACAATAAAAAGCACAAGCGAAAGTACTCCTTCTCGAGTGATTGATCTAAGAAAAATACATCATTAAGATTTGTTCGATTAAGCTAAGCTCTATGCTCCATTATAGTAAAGCTAGCTATGAAGAGGCGTGGGATGGATTTTGAACCCTAGTGAATCCCATGGATTCGGTTGAATCCTAGAGTTGATTCGCTCGGTAGTACCAAAATTCATCAGTAATTACTAGAATCTTCATAAATCAACTGAGATATATTAACTCTCACTGAAATACATTCATCTCAACTGTATTTTAGCAATGTGCAGTGATTTCTAATGAAAAACAGTAATGCGGATCCTGATGGGTCCTGTTGGATACTGAAGGACTCTGATGGACACCAATGAACGCTAATAAATTGTAAAATAGATTTATTAGAATCTAAGGAGGACTATCAGAATTTACTTTAGCTGAGTAAACTTCAGTCTAATTTCATCCATCAAAAGTTAATTAGGTTTGCAATAATTTGCAATTAATGCCGAAAGATGGCACTTGGAGGATCCTACTAGATCCTATGATTCGCCGTGATTCACCTATCCTATTTGCTCTCTCCGCTTGTATGAACTTGGCGGGACAGATAAGGTAATTGATTGGATTCCATTCCGTCCTGTCATATTTGCAATTTTATCGTCTCATCCTGCCCCATCGCGTTCCGAGGAGCTCTAGTAGGAAAGTTCTCTTTGAATTATCTTCTATTTTGTGAATATAGTTTTGTTCCTTAATATCGTATCATTTAGTTCGATTCCATTTCTCACTTTGCAGAGATGCAGTACTTTCATCCTGTACAACGAGTTCCAGGAATATCTAACTATTCGCTAAGTAGCATCGTACTGATAGAAGTTTTCAGGAATAAGTTTCACTACAAATAGAATATGACATTTGCTAAAGCCATCATCAGAACAGAAAAGGTGTTTTTTTACAAGCGGCTTATCCATAGATAGTGTCGTAAACGTTCGATGGACAGTTCAAATACAGCATTGTCTTGTTGAAAATGTTTTCAAGTATATTTTCAGAATGTTTGAAAAAGCATCAAATTACACAGGGTGTATTATTTTTCATTGTCTTAAATAATTGTATTTTTCTTTTGTTATTACCTGTTAAAACAGTATACATCAAAATAATACTTTAGCTATATTATTTCTTTTTATTGTACAGACGAAATTTTACTCGTTCTGTCTAATTACTGAAAACCCACTATCTATGTAATTCGTATCCAAAGTAACTTATGATCAATAAGTCTTCATCATATAAACATTGATGAAATTATTTCATAATAAGAAAAAATCTCATCGAAAACATTTCTCTCATTGTTTTTAAGTGCTAGCATATTTACTATATGATGTGTTTCTATTTAAATTAAATCAAGTAAACACACGCGGTACTGCTCTGCCTTAAATTTCTGATTAAACCAATGTTATTTATTGATTTCAATGTTGTCTTTTAACATCACCTTCTAAGAATAGTTGTAGTGTTTTTTCTTCTACTAATTCATTCTCTTTCTCTTTCCTTCTGGAAGATTTTTATAAATTTTATTTCAATAACAATTTTTACGCCATTGACTAAAACCATGTACCGCTCCTATCCAAATGTTTTGCCTGTAGCTAATAGGTATCTTGGGCATAAAATTTTTCTCAAAGAACAAGCAGATCATCAAAGTCATGTAAGCCTTCGTGGCCGTATAGTGTTGAGTACTATATTCAAATAAATATTCTCTTAAGGTAAAAAACGCACGGAGTGTATTGAATCTATCAGAATCTTCGGAACAATTTAAATTTTCACCAAGTGTTAGACAAAAACAGGTTAGTTAAGCGACTAGTATCATCGGAGTTTTCTATCTTTAATAGACTAGAGAACATGGATTAGCAATGATCAAACAAGAAAATGAACGTCTCCGTATGAGAATGACAAAAACTGAATCGCAAGTTGATACTCACAACCATTATGTACTTCATAGGTAAATGTACAGTTTATTGTCTTTATTTTTGACTAATTAATATTTTTATCTTAATTAAGTTTGAATATTTCGAAACGACAACGTGAAAAAGCTCAACATGAAACTGAATTAGAACGACTTAAAAAGCAGTTAGGTCAAGTTCGAACAAGTTATCCTGTGCGACAATATCGGCAAGATTTTGCAAAAAATAAAGATCTTCAAAATCGATTGACTAGATATCCATTGAAAGTTAAATAAATAGTTAATCATCGGTTTGTTTTTTCGTCTCTATTTTATCAATAAATCTGCTTCATACAAAACGGAATCGATTAAATATTTTCAAATAGGAAACATATGCTAATTTTCTCATCGTGTAATCAATAGAAAACAGCATAGCTATTGCATGTTACAATCTTAAGTATAAAAGAGAAAAAGAAAAATCTTTTTGAAAAATGTCTCTCGAGAAAGACCTGCCACCACCGTATTCTCCTGTTGCTTTTCATGAAACATTACCAATTAATCTCGATGCATCGGCTGTCAGCGATTATCTGCCTTGGTCAATTGTGAACTTATTTTTTGGCTGGGGATTTTTCGGTATTATACCATTGGTTTGTTCGATTGTTTGTCGAAATGAAAAAAGTGCCAATAATTTAAATGGAGCTCGAACTATGAGTACTATGGCATTAATATTAAATATTATAATCACTACGGGAGGAGTGATAGGATGGATTGCGTTCATTGTGTTGGCTTCCGGTTATATAGTTGCACTTAAAGTTTTCACGTAAATAAATAAGAATAAAAATCTACGCCTACTCCCCTAGGCGTTTTTTTGTTGGGTATATTTATTTGTTTATTCGATACAACTGCAATAGGAGTTGCAGGCTTTGAAATATGATTATGGTGATTAATAAGATGAATGAAATATTATATACTATGGTGATTTGGGACCTATGTCGAAAGTTCATTATGATAGTGAATATGTAAATTTCTCTAATAGACAAGAATTGCTAAAATAGAATCACACAAAGAGAGATATGTGCGTAGATTTTATTGGGTTTCTACGGTGTTGGGAAGTTGGAGGGAAAATCACGAATTTACTTTTGTGATAGATAGCTGGTTTTCATGCGCGGTTGTGCATTGAATTATAACTCTATAGCGATAAGGAAAAAATCGTCTAGAAATTCATTTGATTATGAATAGCACTCTTTTGTTTTCGTATGTATTGTTGTCGCTATGTTATTTTGATGTCATGCTTAATTTTGAGAGCTTTTTCTTTTATTGACTTTGTATTATCGTGTTTTGATCACTTCTTAGCGTTTTTAAGAAAATAGTGTAGACGATACAGTTAGTTTAAAGGCGATGACAAACGAAAATTTATGCTAAAAAAATGCAATGGAGATTTAAGCAAGCCCTGTAAAATGATTTATTTGACATAAATTAAAGTTGATTTAAAATGTAGGCTGAAATTTGTATTGATTCGGAACGATCAAAGTTACATGTTTTATATTACTAATAATACTCTTCTTACATCAAGATAATAAATAGAATCAGTTATGTACAATATGAATCATTATTTATTTTTGTTAATTGCAGCTGGTGTTAGTCTCTATGGGACTGTGCACCGAAATTATAAAATAAATATATTGTTTTTTATTGTTGGCAAAAGTTTTGACAAGAGGAAAAAACCAGGAGAATAGTGTTATCACTATCTTCGAGGATTTATCTAACAGATAAATAAATGAACACATTATTAATATCATTCATTGAGTTACAGTGTCTAGAAAATTGTTGACCAATCGATAATACAACTTTTTCCCTACAGATACACATTTAATAAATAAGATTGCATTTACGTGAGAGAGATGTATCACGTGTGAATGAATGTCTATAGATTTTCATTGGTTTCGTTAGTAATTTAAATCAAAATAGTTTTCAATGATTAATTGACCAATTTTCATCGAAAGTCTTACTGTGTAGGCAAACTCGCAGGTGACAAGATCTACGTACTAAAAGTATTCTCTGTCAAATTTCAAAGCAATATATGGGTACATCGAACTCAGTGCACACTTATTCTGAATACTTTCTTTTCACAAAAGGAAAGAAGTCTACTATCGTTGTTTGTTTCGACAAGCCATGTGACCGAAAAAGAAAATGTATTCTGTTCTTCTTCTTTCATCTACACACATTCAACCACACGTATTCACGCTCCTATTTTCTTCTTTCATAAAAGATGGCTCACGAACACACACATCATCATCATCATCACGATTATGCAAAAGCCAATGCAGATCATTTTTCCGAGCAAGCCAGTAATTATCGTACTGAATTGTCTATTGAAATAGCAAAACGATGTGCAGCGCATATTCTTAAAAAATATCCATTCGATTCAAACAAAACCGAGCTACTCGATTTTGCTTGCGGGCCTGGTCTTATTGCATTCGAACTTTTACCAAATGTCAAACGCATTGTTGGCGCCGATTCAGCACCAGGAATGGTAGAAGTTTTTAATCGTACTGTAAGTGTTAATCGAATTTATTTCTAGACTCGGTTTGCTTTTTGTGATAGGTGACAGAACAAGGCCTATCGACAGAAAAAATACATTGTGTCGAAATTGGTGCTCTCAAAGGTGATGAATCTGATCTTGACGGAGCACTTTTCGATGTGATTATGTAGGTTAATTGAAAATAAGAATTATTTTCTTCAATTCCCATATTCTAGTTGCGTACAATCGTATCATCATTTCGAAGATCCAATACAGATTACTAAAGCATTTGCTCAACGTCTTAAACCAAACGGACGTTTAATAGTCATTGACTTTGCTGATGCTGGAAATATTGAAACATTCTTTGAAAAAGTACATGAGCATAAACATGAACATGAACATATAGTTGCTCATAAGCATGGTAATTGTTTTGATAGAAGTCTTTCTAATTATTTCATTTAATTCTAATAGGTTTTACATACGAACGAATGATCGAGATTTTCAAAGCAGGAAATTTACAAAATCCTCAAGTTGAAGTAAACTAAAAATTAATTTTTATTCGTATCGAATTGAATGTTTTCTGTTTTTTCTAAATTTTAGGAAGCTTTTAATATGCCTAAATCCGAAATGAAAACTTACCAAGCACATGAACGCATGGCCAAAGTTATGGAATGTGATTTTGATTTTACATTTCATTATTTTATTGCTTACGCTGATAAAGCCTAACATTAGGAATTCTATGAAATATTAATTTCTTAAAAGCGATCATTCATTAACTGTATCACTTACTTTCAATTAATAAAATATTCTTACGCGTGTGAATTTTTGAAAAGGTCATAATCTAACTGATGAATTTGAATCATTTAATTTGATCGAACTCTACTAACTAAAATACTCATGTTCCAATATATGACTTTTATCAGAACTGTCAGTCGAATAAGTAGAATGAACAAACATTCAAAATATAATTGAAAAATAAATAAGAATATTTACTTTCTTCATAGATGTTTATTGAATACAGAAGCTAATCTATAGAAAAAAAATGACATCGATTAAAGATATTTGAGTGTGTATTACAGGATATTCAGTTATAAAAGCTAGCACCTTATGAATACAGGTGTTCTGATTGCTAGAAAGACGGATCGATTTGAAAGAATATGATGATTCATTGTTGAATACTAGGAGTAAAACGAGACGATGAACTTTATCGATAATAAGCAATTACTATCAATGTATGAGGTATTAACTTGCTGAAAAATTCTTTGATGTTTCTGTATTGTTAAATTCTTTTATAGGCAGCCATTGATGGTGATGAACAATATTTTGATCATTGGCTTACAACAATGAAAAAGAATGGTTTATCCATGACAACTATCAAGAGTAAAATTGAAACACTTGATCATGAACAATATTCAATATTACATTATACCATTCGATATAATCATTTGAATTTATCGCGGAAAATTATTGAAGGATTTCACTTTGGTATTTAAAATATTGGCGAGTTCAAATAAATTTCTATTCGACTTTTCTAGATGTTAATCTTGTTGGTCGTGATGGTGAAACTCCATTGCATACAGCAGCTCGCTATGAAATATTAAGTCATAATAGCATTTTGAATGATCACACGAAATTAATTGCAATGGTTTGTATCCTGTCGACTGAGTGTAATTTTACTAAATAGTCAATTGAATATAAAACCTAAGAAAGATTTTTTTATAGAAAAAATATTCTTGTTTCTAGCCACCTTCGATTGAGCAAAATGTAATAACTTATTTAGTTTCCTGTCAAGCTGATTTATCAAAAAAAGATTATCATGGTCAATATTGTTGAACGAATACTTAATTGTTTTTGTATTTTTTTCGCTCTTATCTAGGTCGTACACCTCTTCATCATGCTGCTATGAGAAACAATTATAATAGTGCTAAACAATTGATTGAACTCGGTGCTTCGATTAATGTAAGAACAGTTTTACACACAGTCTAAAAGTGGATTAGTAAAGTATAACAGAAGCTTTTTTCTGACAGACAATTTATTTCACCATAGATTTTCGATGGCAATAATGCAACTCCACTTCATTTTGCATCTCGATTTAATTCTATTGATTGTGTTCGTTTATTGATTGAACATCGAGCTATTATCGACCAACAAGATGCTAACGGAAACACACCGTTACATTGTATTGCTCTATCTCAACAGATTCTATTTAATAGTAGTGACGAAATTCATTTTCTTCAAAATACAACAACTGCTCATTTTTTATTACATCGTGCAGAAGACTATCTTCAATCTTATCTTGAAATCGAAAATAAAGAGAGAAAAACTGCACTGAGCGTCGCTTGTGAATATGGTAATATTAATCTAGTTCGAATTCTACTTATCTACGGAGCGAGCATTCGGAACTACATGCCGATTCATATGGCAGTTAAATCGGGTAATGTTGATATTGTTCAATTGCTACTTCAATATCAAGTTCCATTGACGTCAACAAATATATACGCAGAAACTCCATTACATATTGCTTGTAAATTTAATCGAATGGACGTATTACAGATTCTGATTAATTATCAAAATGAAAACTTCGATTTAGAAGTTCGAGATTATCAAGGATATACACCATTATTAACAGCGAGCTATTTTGATCATTTTGATTGTATTAGAATTCTTTTACTTAATCATGCAAATATTACAGCAATTGATAATCATGGTAAAAATATTTGTGAGTATCATTCCAATGATATTTTATATTCAAATTGAGATATAGTTTTATTCCTTCAAGTACATATTTGTATTGAACAACATTGTGAAAATGCTTTGCATCATTGTCTTAAATGGATTCAAGAAGATGTTCGTAGTTGTACCATGTTTATTCGAGGCGATCGACATGGAAATACTATACTTCATGCAGGTATCTTACGTTCAATAAATAGAAATATTAAAAATAGTAGTTCTCATGTTAGTCCTATTTGCAAAATAATGCTGTTCGATTGATGTTAGCCGATTTTCCGTAACTTTAGTTTTCTAACTCGAGACAATTTCTATCATCGATAGGTAAATAAATATTAAATTACTCACCAGGAGTGCCCCGGCAAAAGATGTAATCCTCCCCCTTCCCTCAATATTCGAATCTTCACTTAGAGCCTATTTTACAGTCGCGCCGCAAAAGTTGAAAGTTTCGCAGAAACCCTGTTATTTAATAATTGCTTCAACGTTGAACATGGAAGTTTCTCGATTGATGAATCGTTTTTTGACAATGCAAGATTTTTCATTGTAATTAAGCTAAGTATCGAAATTCGTTTTTAGCAGCGAAAAATGGTTCATTTCAAACATGTGACCTATTGCTTGATACTTTAAAACAGATTTTACTACGAACCCAACAGTCACACAATAATAGAAATTCATTTATTAACGAATATTTATCATTAATTCTTAAAAAGAATATTGACAAACGAACACCAATACACGAAACAGCTAAAATAGGTAATATTGCTATGCTTCAATTTTTCTTCTGTATAATTCGCGATGAAAATCAAACCGACGAATATGAACAAGATAAAATTACACTTTGTGAAGATTATGACGATGAATTTAAAACAAGTTTACATCTTGCTGCAGCCGAAGGTAATGCTAACTTCAAAAGTTTTAGAAAAATATTATTTTACTCTTAAAGGTCATCACAAAATCGTACAACTACTTATCGATCAAGGTGCTAATGTTTGGTCATGTGACATGAATAGTTCGACTCCACTACACGAAGCAGCTGCTCATAATCGTTACCATTGTGTAGAAATTCTTCTTGATCACCAAGCGCCAATCAATCAATTCGATGGAAAACAAAATACGCCACTTCATCGAGCTAGTCAATATGGTCATTGGAAAATAGTTCGTTTATTACTTAATTATAATGCTGATGTACGCCTTGTGAATTCTGATGGTTATAACAGTTTAGAAGTTGCTATTTTAAATAATCATCAATTAACTGTACACGAATTTCTCAATCATAAAACATGGACGAAATCATTACGCAATGCACAAATACCAACCCTATTGAATTCAAGCAGTAGTAAGTATGAAAGTCTATCAACACCATTAAGAAAACTTATTCGCTATATGCCAAATGAAGCTGATCAAGTTTTTACACGATCTATGATTGAAATAGGAGGCTCAGAAGACAATTCGTACAAGATTATTTTTAATTATGAATTTCTTGAAGATCAATTTTCGATTTTTAAATGGAAACAAGGTAAGACGTGCATAGCCGATAGAATTCATTTTAACAGTTAGAGAAGAGTTTACATATAAATTTCGAACCATTTAATTATATAATCATGTGTTAATAAGAATTTCGACTCAACAAAAACTTTCAACTGTCAGTATATTTTTTATCTAGATTCTCCCATTCATTCAATCGATGTAGAACAGAAGAAAACTAAAATATTCAATCTATTATCGGTTTTTAAATCTCGACAACAACAAGAAATCAACATGAAACAGACATCTCAACTTAATTCTCATGTAGATACACTTCGACAAAATCATCCTCTCTATATGATTATTACTTATCATCAATATGATCTACTCAAGCATCCACTTATCGATCGATTAATTGAACGAAAATGGGTTCAATTTAGTCGAACGTTCTTTTGGATTCTATTTCTTTTTTATGGTATTGTAGATTTTTATTAAAATATTTCTTTCTCGTTCCATGTTCATCACTACCTCTGACGACAAATAATCATTTTTTCATAGTGAAAATAACTTTGAAAGCATACTAGAAAAATATCTAAGAAAGTTTTTCAAAAAATACAAGAAAATTCGAAATTTAGTGCTACTACTTCTCCCATCTGTTACATTAAAATGATCGCTGAGCACATGTTAAATATACAGATGCAGATATTCATAAGGACAATCTTGTTTCTAGGATTTTTCTTAGCATCATTTACTTCGACAATTCTTCGTGTTCACCATCCTCAATATTATTATTCGCTCTTTAATGCATCGATTTCAACAGTGAGCTGCGAAACAATATCATTAAATCTTCTTCGCCATGAATCATTTATATTGACAAAAAAAAATTTCTATGATACAATGATAAAATGGCTTTTATTTAGTACCATATTAATTCATATTATTAAAAATATTCTATTAATTTGTATACGTTTTAAAATGTTTTTTGGTTTATCAAATATTTTAGAATTAATCGCATTAATTTTAAGTATTATTTTTTCACATGATTTCTATTCGTGGCAAATGTCTATTCGTTTTCGATGTTCATTTCAATGGCAATGTGGAGCATTTGGCATTCTCATTGGATGGATAACATTAAGTAAGTCGTTTTGTTTTTTAAATTTACGTTGCACTCTCTCTCTCTCTCTCTTCTGTAGTTAATATTCGATAGATCTATTATTATTATTATTATTATTTCGTTTAGTTATTTACGTTCAATTTCTTTCCGCTTCTGGAATCTACGTCGTAATGTTAGAAGTAATTCTTCGAAAATTTCTTCGTTTTATACCAATATTAATTATATTTATTCTTGGTTTTGGTTTATCATTTCATATGTTACTGCAAAATCAAAATGTTTACAATCATACTTTTGATGCATTGATTCGTACGATTTTAATGTTGACAGGCGAATTCAATTATGAAGAGCATTTGTATCGTCAAGAGAATGAAAACAATCGATACTATTATCAAATTATATTTTTACTCTATCTATTATTTTGTATATTAATGACAATATTAATTATGAATTTGCTTGTAGCAAATGCTGTTGGTGAAATTCCACCATTGATCGAACGTGCTAATGTGAAATCTTCAATAATGCGTATTAAATTAATTATGGACTATGAAATATTGCTATCAACCTTTGAATTTTTTATTCCATATTTAAAAAAACGCGTCAAATTATTAATTGATAAAAATCAAAATGAAATTATCTATCCGAATAAAATTCATCGATACAAACATAAATATTATCATATAAAAAAGTTTTTGTCCGATCGAAAAAAACAATCCGTATTGAAAGCAAACGAAGAAAAAATTGAACAAATTATTCAAGAAAACGTATCGGAACTTTACAAAAAATAAAATCTTTGTTTATCTATTGGCTTTGAACAAAAGAAGGCCAGTAGTGATCGACGAGGTGCCGATAAAAAACGATTGTTTCAGAATTTTTTTAAATGCAATAAAAATAAAGTCTGCAAAAATTCATTTTGGACCTGTACATTTTTAGTAATTAGATATTCATGAAAAAAACCAGTTCGGTAAGCTCTACGTTTCTTTTTTGTGCATTCATTGAAGCCCGCCCGAATCGGAACACATCGAACTTTATCCAATTCGATAGTAAAAAAAGTATCGAGATTCGCTCTCTTTCATACGGTAGTACCTTGTTCGAATTGCAATGACCTCAGACAAGATTGTTTTCTAATTGTCATCAGCTCATCATTAATCCCCATCGACATGAACTTGCAATAAACACAGATGACAAATAAACACAGATCAGTGTCGTATAAGATGTAACTCTATCTCAATTTATTCAAAAAATTTTCAACATCTTGCTGTTTATTCGTTATGAACGGAAGTTTCAACGTGAGAAAAATCAACATTATTCTCGATGGAAAAAAAACAGAAAACTATACTGTTGAATCTTGTTGATCTAGATGATTATCCTATGTTTACTGACGCAATCAATTTTTGTTTTGGCCTTCGAAACTAACAGACCAGGCTATTCACACGAAATAACTTTGATTTTTTAACACGAACTATGCTTGAATGTTAATGAGAGCACGAGAAACTAATTTCACGTGCTTCTCGAAACAATTATCGCTTGATAATTATCCATTCCAATTAGGCGACGAAAAAAAAGTAACCTATTCTATGGAGTGGGCTCATCGAACAATAGAAGTGTCGAGCAAGAAAAACCAGATGATAATAACCGTCATTATAGTTGAAATTGAAGAAGAAGAAGAAGAGAAGAAAAACATTCATGATTTCACTTGTTAAATATTGCTCAATCATTTTATCTTCAATGCACTCATGTCATATTGTTCGATCTTCCTCTTATTTTCAATTATATCATTGTAAGATTCAATATCCAATGAGTATTTTCTATTGATGGATAAAAGGTGTGATTCCCACGGTTATGATCAAAGAACGAGAGAAGCTACAGATATCTTATGATTGCACCTGTATGACGCATGTCATATATCCAACTTTTTTTTCTTCTGTTTCGTGTATGTTGAGATACGCAAACATATGAACAACAACCAAAACAAAAAGGAGTCGGTACGATCAAATAGGAATTTTATGATGAATCAAGAATAGCAGGCAGGTGGATTTATTACTATTCCCTTAGTTATTACTTTTTCTAAACATGTGTATGTGCATGCGCTCCGCCCACTGAATACAGACACTTGAACATTAGTAATATTCTATGTCGGGAAACATAATAACTACAAACAATTATAATGATCATTCGAGTGCCTATGAACATGCCTGTACACTTACGAATATGTTCATTTAATAGAATTATATACAATACAATGAGACCGAAGGCAAATTTATTTCAAAAAAAAATCGAAATAAATAAGCATCTAACACCTTTGAACATCTATTCTCTTGACGCGACTGTAAATAATCATTAAGTGTGTGACTCCCCTCCAGCGATAATTGACTTAGCCCGTATATCCGTAATGGATAATGGATAAAAAAAAAAGACAACTTGAAAATGTCACTTTCTTCCGAGTAAAGATCAATATGCACGTTAAATGTAAGCATATATCCGACGATTTTCAAAGAAAGATGCCAACAAGCTTTAGTGTACACATTCTCTTGCTACTGTTCTTTTCTTCAAGACAAGGTGATAATTGAAAAGTTGTGTATATTCTATCCCAGGTATTACTTTAATTAGACATGCGATCGTATTGTTCTTATCCGCGGCCATTTTGATCTTCGGGCAAAAAAAATTCAATAGGAAAGAAAATTGAAAATATTGAAAAACATATACACCGTGACATTCATACCGAAATGTATAGCTATAATTTTAACACAGCAGTCATTCGAGTACGAAAAAGTCTACGTATACACCTCGTTTTCTTTGATCTCTGCATAAGTCACAACATGAGGATTTCGTAGCTTAGTGTATGATTATCTCGAACTATTCTTCAATATGGCCTTTTTTTACTCAACTGTCGAAAGCAATTCCATCGAAACGGAATATATTCAAAGAAAATATAATAAATTCGTTTATGTTAATTTTTAGGAAATAACAATAGATTTTTTTCCGCATTCAGAAAAAGATTCATCATAATGCCATAAAGTCGCTCACATTTGAATTTCGCTTTTTTTTTCAAATTGCGATTGTGCAATTAGACATTAAAACTTGTTAATGATATAAAAAAAGATTCTCATGAATTATTAGATAATTTATATGTTCAAAATCACACGCACACACACAAATTACTGTACTAATTTATATATATATATATTCATTTTACATGTATGGTTTCCAAAGTTTTGCTGATGATGGACTTAGAGAATTCGATGATAGACTTGATGGAGAACAGGAATCATTAATGATAATTTGTAGACATTTCGGTTCGCTAATTCGCTGTTGATAAGGATGATAGTGTATTAATCGACGATTAGTCCACATTTGTCGACAACGATTTGCTAAAAGTTGACGTTGTTCAAGATATATGTTGGGTGACGAATGAATTAATTTCCATATTTCTTCTGAACATTGTCGATAACCATTTTCATAATTGTCTGTTGGATGATTCATTCGTTGTTTTAAATTTCGAATATAACTGACGGTCATTTCGAGGATTTCAGCTTTTTCTAATTTTTGATACCGTGCTCTCTAAATGATAAAAAAAAACAATACATTTTACATAAAAAAAAAGTATACTTTACATCATCAGTTAAAGCTATAAGGTCTTTTAATTCTTCGAGACATTTATTAATACGATCACGACGCTTTTTTTCTACACATGTTTTAGCAAACTAAATGAAAAAATAATAATAATTACAAGGAAAAGAAACGTTCATGTGAAACTCACTTTTCTTGAATTTTCTTCGGATAGATCAGAATAATCGCACGTCAACATCATAACTTTTTCAGTTCGATATACTCGTCCTGAGATGTCAATCGTCGAATGAAGAAATTTCACTTTTAAATAAACAGAGAAGGAGAGCAGAGACGAGAAGAAGGAGAAAATAAATGATTGGACAGTGATCACTAATCGCTCGTCTCTACCAACGAAGAAACACACACACACACACACGCGCGTACAGAGGATATGGATGTTTATTGTATACCAAAGAAACCTTGCCGATGCATGTTTGTACATTCATAGGTGTTGATCTACAAAGTCTATAATAGACACATTACACAATCGGAGCAATTTCAATTCGTTTTCTCGCTTGTTGACTATCATCGATGAGAAAATCATTTAAGATGGTTATGGTTTTTCTATTGTCAGCCGCTTTATTTGATCTGATCGGATATGAAGTGCGTACCGTATATGGGCACAGTTGTTTTTAGTAGAACGAATTCTACATAGACTTTTCCCATGCTTGAGAAAAAAAAAGAATAAACAAATCGATGTGTAATATTTCTTCATCTTGTTGCTCTATCTATATACTTGAACCATAGACACCTCTGTAACAATAAGTGTCGATGATGAAACCTTAGAAGAAACAAAGTTACTTTCGCTGACGAACTTCATCGTTGTGCTTGATGTAGAAACTTGACAAAAGAAAACAATTTTTCTTTTCGAGTATTATAAGATACTTTTGAATCTTGCTAAGCTTTATTTTATTCGATATGAAAATTAGATAGATTTAGACGAAAAAACAATCTATTGTATGTCATGTGATAATTTAAGTGAATCTAATTTCTTTTTAACCCATGAAATTCTATCATTGCCCCAAAATGGTTCACCGCGTACAACCATCGTAGGTACACCAAATATTTGGTCTTGATCGGCTTCATTTTGCGCATTTAAATAATCTTGTTGGCCTTGATTATTAGCATAATTTTGAAAGTCTTGTGCAAATTTCTCAAATGGCATTTGTTTGTTAGATGCTTCATAGAGAAGTTTCGTAATTTCATCGATATTTTCAAGATTTAATTGACGATTGAAAAATAACTCAAACGTACGATAAGCATATGGATGTAAAAATTCATATTTATCCGCATATAAACCGCCAATCAATGAAAGACGAGAATCAAACAAACGTTCTGGCCCACGAATAATCATACCGCGTTCATTAGCAAATCGTCGACAGTCCAAATACAAATATCGCACTTTATTCCAATTGAGTTTATTTCGTTCTTGAAGATTTCCACCAAATGTTTCTTCGGCTCGAAAAGCCCATGGGATAAAACGTAATTGAACAGGATAGTCTTTTTCTAATTGTAATGCTGGTTCTAATGCTAAATAAGTGTATGGTGATTTAAAATCGTAGTAAAATTTTATTATCTCGCGTGTTTTTCTAGTCGAATAAGAACGAATAAATCTTATTGAAAACATTCTTGAATAAACAAACAAAAAAGATCAATGCGAAACTGAAGTTTCTCTTTCCTGTTAATCTATTGCTTCGATTTTTCAAACAGAAACAACATCAGCGCCTCCATAACTTGTGTACTGCTGTTACTCAGCAGTAAAATACAAGCAAATATAAGACAAGCGAATTGTAGAAAATATAAGAATAATAAATAACCATACCATAAGTAAAGTTAAATTACATATAGAACAATAAATATAAGAAATACAAGCAACAAGATAAGGAAAAAAACTTCAAAATGTCTAGTTTTATGCCGCTGTTTTAGGACGTTTTTTCACTTGTGAGAGACGTTTCTTTTTTTCAGCTTCTTCACGTAAAACTTCGTCAATATCTTCTTTAAGACCAAGTCGTCGACTAAAATGAAATAGAATAAATCAAGAAGAATATTCAGATTTTAGTATGCGTACCTAATTTCTTCTTCTTGTTCTATTCGATGATATGATGATTCCATATCTTTTAGATCATCATCATCATCGTCTGAAAATTGTGCGCGATATCTGAAAAGAATTTTTTTTGTTTTTACATATTTCGTATCAAAATGATCAACTTACCTTTCTTTGACAAAACCAAAATTAGTCTTCAGAGTTTCTTGAAGTTCTTTTCGATAGTCATATTCATCGTTTTCATCGTCCACAATAAAATCACGCATTTCTAAAAATTAATGGATATTGACATGCAAATTGTCACTAATAAGGAAAATCACTGTCGACTGGACACTATCTTCATTATGTGAAGACTCTAGGAAGAGCCCCAATCGTTTGCTTATCGGTTTAGGCACAGCACTCTTTCAAAAGACGTTTAAAATGTATCTCATGATCGCCTTCGAAAAGACTACAAAGTTCGGATATCTGAAAATTAATACAAATAACTGTGCGATTGTTAGTGTTTAGTAACAATGTAGTAGGTTAGATTGGAAAGCTTTGCTTCTCAGCTTCTTTAACTCAGTATTTAGAAGACTCTGTGAGTTCGAAATAAATGTATAGATTCATCGGCAAGTATGTCGTTCTGCGCTGATAATTTTCGTCAAAACAAGGTTAGTGTTACTGAATTTTATTTTCTCTGTAAATCGATCGTTATGATGAGAAAGATTGACATTTATTTAAATGAATAGCATACATATACGTATAAATACTTTCATTCATAACCTTTACATGAAAGGCTATTAGGATTTTTCACACTTATCTTATCTTCTAACTTGCACATTGCTTCATAAAAATCTTACCTTCATCATCTTCATCATCCGTATCGAGAACAGGACGTTTACGGACTAAATAGAAATAAAAGACACATTAATATCTATTACTCGACTTCATTTGGTTATAAACCAATAAAACACTAAGCTGTTTTAACCTTGAAAGTAACACGAAAGAGAATCTATTTGCAGAGTCTTTGTTAAAAATGCTCATAGAAACAAATTCATTCAGTCTTTTATTTAATCAGAAAATTTTCGTGAAAACTCAATATATATATATATATATATATATATAAAGACTATTTCTAACTGAAAATTTAGAATAGTAGACGCGCCAATAAACGAAGGCAAGATTTCAAAACGAACTCATGTTCTTAACTAGCCTGTTTGATTTGATGGTCTTCGTCCATTCATCATCATGCGATTTGGGGCTGGTAATCTTTGACCGTTCATTGTTTGATTCGGTGGTCGCGATCTTTGTCCATTTACTGTTTGATTCGGTAGTGCTGGTCGTTGCCCATTTACTATTTGACTTGGTACTGTTGGCCTTCGCCCATTTGCTGCTTGATTTGGTAGTGTTGGTCTTTGTACATTTGTTGATAGTCTTTGATTCGGAGTAGACTTTTGTTCAATGACTGTACGATTTTGTGATGGTTTTTGTCCATTTCTTATCGAATTTATTGGTGGGGTTGTACTGGCAGATCTGGCCGATGACTTTACATTGTTCAATAATGGACCAGACACATTCGACTTTGATTTATCTACGTTAGATTTCTGCTGAGTAGATGACTTAGTCGTTGAATTTGGTTTTGTCACTGTTGATGTTGTTCTCGTCGTTTTTAAAGAAGTAGAAGAAATCGATTTTTTAATATTAGTGGTAGTTGACAATGGTTGAGAAGTAGTAGTTTTTGACGACAACAACGAAGTGTTAGGCTTTGATGTTGACGGCAATGGTGTATTTGCTTGAAATGATTTTGAAACATGAAGCAATTCTTTAGGTATTGGCTGCTTATTAGTTTTGAGTGATGCATAACGCATAAGATCTTCGTACGAAACATTTGGCATTTTTTTCTTTACATTTGCAGGTGGCTTCTTAGGAGTGGAAGTAAGAGCGGAAGTAGGAGGTTTTGGCGGACTAGACTTTTGTTGTTGTGTTTTTAATTGAGCAGTTGTTTTTTGTTGCTTTTTTAGTTCGTTTAATTTTCTTAAACGTTGTTCTTCTAAAAATAAATCTAATAGAAATATTTGATTTGGAAAATAATAATAATATCTAACCAACTAGTTTTTCTTGTTCTCGACGCCGTCGTTCGAGAATCATTTTAATGGCTGTATCATTCGCGGGTCGAGATTTATTAGCTTTCTGATTCAATTTCTCACGCCTTCGACGTGCTTCTTCAAGCTAGAAATGAGAAAGTTTGTTGTTAATTAATGAACTTTTTATCAAAATACTGTTTTTTTCTCGCTTACTTCTTGAGCTGCAGATCGACTGTTTTTGTCAGCAACACTCAATAATTCAGTCCAACTCTGTGACATATTGTTTTTACTAAATTAAGGCTAAAATTGAAACGGCGAAATCTTTTATATTGAGTATTAATATGTAATTACGCTCGACCATGAATGAATGATTGCAAACGCAGCTGATCAATATCATAGTGATTTTGATTGGTATCGAAATATCCAATGAAATCTAATGTAGACAATGTAGTATATGTGTGAGTGCGACGACGACGTCGAGTGAATACTAATAAATGTGATTTAGATTCGATAAAAATATTTAAGAAGAAATCTTTTTCAAAAGTACATTTGATTTAGATAAGGATATAATCAGCGATATAACCAAATAGATAGAGCTAGAGGTTACGACAACGAGGGCGCTGTAAGTCTTGCTAATAACTGCATTGCTGGCTAGTGTGAAACTAGTGAAAGTTTTTATATTCCATCCACGTTCTGATACTGTCTCTGAGACAGCTTTGCCTTGCACTGGTTGAAGCCATATCTATTAAATTGGGTCACAAACACTTCTCCTAATTGAACAGAGGAAAACGTTTTTTCAAAAACTGTCGTTCCAGTAATCCAATTCGAATGTTTCATTTGAAAGAGTTAACAATGTGAAAAAATATTCAACAATATTTTCATGAATTTAATATTGATAACTACTCGAAAATCATATTATCACGAAGAACTTTCTTATTAGCTCTTGTTTAAAAAAAAAGAAAATTTGATTTTTATTAAATGCACACCGCTGCAATTGTAATTAACAGTATTCGTGGTGATAATATGCAAGTAGTAGTACAGATCAATAAATATAAATACATTTTATTTTAGTAAAGAAAATAAAAACAAAACATTTTTTTTTCAAATGCCGAGTTTTGTTCAATATTGGAAGGAACAAGTTTGCCGTCTCTGATATGGAAGCTACTGGCAGATATATTTCTATCGAGTCGATGAAGAGAGTATATACTAAAGAGATTGAAAAAGACAACGAGGAAATCGTTGTCATAGATCATACAATTTTGATTAATACCTTTGATAAGAGAGTCTAAAACAACCATACCGTGCTAACTTCCACATCGTCAAATAGTTAACGAGAACTGTAATTATTTGGCCATTTTTGACGATTACTGGCTTCCCACCCAGGCTTTTGTGGAAGAAGAGGAATAAAGAGGATTTGCATAAAAATAAAAAAGAGGAAAAGCAGGCTGCTGTTTTTCCATTCTCGAAAAACAGAAGTAAACTATAAGTGAAGCTAAGACCAGAGCTGGGTAAGTACGGACTTTTTCGAGTACGAGTACGAGTACATGATATGAGAATGTGCTTGTCGCGAACTTATTAGAGAAAATTTAATTGGTAGTGTTAGAGATTACGTATCAATTGTGAAATCAAGAAATAGTCTTAGTCATGAATCAATATATTTAAATTACGTTTATTATCAAGTTTCAAAACAAAAACTACAACAAAACTTGATTACATTTAAGAAATGTAATCAAACATGCATTTTTTGAAGTTAACGATGCGCGATGTGGGCGCGTTAAAAATCCACTTGAGAAAATATTCTTTCAATAGGAGCTGATGTAGCCTGCACTGATAAGTATTTCAGACCCAGTTCATATAAAGAAGGATAAATATTTATCTGAATGATTCATTAAGAATACATATATATATATATATATATAAATATAAAAGGAAAGAAAGAAATCAACTGTTCTTTCTTGAAAAAATCTACATTATGATTTTATCAAGCATCATTTTGATATAATTAATGTTGGTGTAGGACTTCGAGTACTTCACCCTTGAATACGAGTACGAGTACTTCTAGTATTTCGCCCAGCTCTGGCTAAGACCGTAAAAACTACACGAGTTAATATTGAATTAACCAACCACGTTGCTTAAATCAATATTAACTCGCATATTTTGTTCATGGGCTAAAATTACAACATTCAGAAATTGATCCCTTTTTTACGTCTGTTTGGCAGTTACTCTAAATCTATGTTAAGAGAAACCATGACTACTTCACGTACATTTTTATTCAATGTCTAATGCACATATTGCAAAACACTTGGTGTAACGCTAATTAAGAGGTAATACACTACGTTATATTGTAGCTAATTGAATTAGAGATACGTCAAACAATCTATCGACGTTCATTTTATCTTTACTCCGGACATTTTATTTTGTAGAAGTCGGTTAAGGTTTAATCGATTATTTTCCATTGAGTGCTTGACTATCTTAATAAAACGGGATTCCATTTTAGCTCTTTATTCCATCCCCCATAGTTGCATATGATATTTTCCTAGATCTATCGCTATGTTGCTATGAAAAATAGAAAACATGAAAAAAAATAGTGCTGACAATTAGGGGTGGCACTTTAACTTTAAATTGTTTTAAGAAAGTAGTTACAGTTAAATTTAAAGCAATCCATACTTTACATTTTAAATTAAAATTTTGCTAAACTTAAAGTAAATTTCTCATAAAAATAGTGTTTCTTGCATAAAAAAATTTTTTTTTCTAAGAAATAACTTTTTCTATATAACATTGTTCTTTTATGACAAAAATTATCTTTCAAGAAGCAACGATTTTTTGAAAAATACATTTTAAACTTTAGCTTTTATTGAAGTTAAAGTCTAAAACAAACCATTTTTTACTTCGCTCGAATTTTTGATGAAAAAGAGGCGGAGTGGGTGGTCAGCCGATTGAAACTATTGTGCGATGAGAATTCTATAGTAGTTCATATTCTAGAATTTTTCATCGAATGATCTAAAAATAACTTTAAAACAAGACTGCGAAATACTCAAATACAATATGTTTCGATCTCAATTAAAATACAGCCTTGGTACAGAATAATTTTGATACGTTTCTCTCTCTCTTTAAAACAATTGTAGAAGATAATTTTTTCAACATAAATCCAACTCATTCGTTGATTTTATGTCAAACAAAATCGTACAGTCACTTCACAATTAAAGACAACTTTGAATGCCTCTAAAGAAGCTGCACCATATGGCTACAATGAAATCATGTATGTGACCAGGGTGGCCAAATCTTCTGAAAAGTAGGGAGAAATTCTGAATTTTGAACATGTTTCTGATTTTTCTGAATTTGGAACATATTGAGATCGCTGCTTTGCCACTGAAATTAGGTACGATTATAACCCATTACTATAATAAATCAATAGTGTTTCATCAATTTTCTGTATTAATCATGTTTTATATTCCTCGTTCGAATTATGGAGTCGAATCGATTTTCGGTTATATGAAGCATTTATAGTCCAATTATCGTAATCCAGTAATATAAAACCAGATAATGCTTAATTTAAAATAAAAGTGATTGATAATTATTCTTGACAAGGTTTTTATTAGCATATGTTATCTTAAACAAACTTCCTAGAGCAAATTCCAACAGATACGAAATATCAATAACAATACCGAGATGATGGGATTTAACGTTTTTTTTCTCGTTGGATTTCTTAATCTACGCAGAATGTATGTGATTTAGTTTTGCTCGTTTTTGTGAACGAGCTTTAAATTTAAAAAGAAGCTCACCATTAAGTATCTTTTATTGATGCCTTCTTATTAGCTAAACGATATATTCACTATATTGTCTTTCGTTTTATTGAAATATCTTTGAAAATAAAGTTCCAGCCAATGAACAGAAACGCAGCAGAATATTGAATGTCAGTATCTTAGCGGAATATGTACTGATTTGCCAAACACTGCCATTTTCTGATTAATTTCTGATTTTTCAATTTTAGATCTGGCCACTCCGTATGTAACATAGAGCCAAATTTACATACTATGCATTAGTTTTCCTACAAACAATATCGGTTTTATTTTCGTTCTCCTATTACTGGTCTAGAATCATTTTCAACAGAGAATAAATTGATCACAGTATTCGAAATCACGAAGTAATTTTTTCTTCTTTTGTTCGTTGTATAAAAAGAAAATGCATGCAGTGAATAGCAAATAAGGACATCAGATACAGCTGTTGGTCACACCGGTTATAAATCATGCATTCATTTTTGTTTTGCGTTCTTCATTCATCGTTCAGATGTTGAGAGCTATCGTCTGCCAAAATTTTAATGATTAGGACAGGTAGGTGTAGTTTAAATTTTGTAGTAATTTGCTACCAGCTAACTTTTTCTTATAGATCTGATCTAAATTCATTTTAAGACTGGCCTATTTTAACACGAGAATAATGATAGAAAAGAACAAGATGAAGAGTATCATGCGTACTCTTGCTAGATATACTTCAATCGGTGTAATACTTGTTTTGTTTATTTTACTTTTCTTTGAACTGAAAATATTCACTGCTAACCATTCGATTCTTAACAGTCGACTGAGGGTAAGTTAAAACAGAGGCATTATTTCGGTTTAGCGTAAAAATCACATATGTTTATTACTTTTTTGAGACTCCGTTTGTGAATAATGATTACATGATAATAATTCTATTGCAACTATAGGTTACACTTAGATCTGAGAATAATACATTACATTCGAACGTATCGCCTTCATTTTTCAATATGTCCAGATTCAAAATAATGACATTTAATATAGCCAGTTGCCATGGATCAGATCGTGGCATTGCGGATGTCGCATTTGCTATCGAGCAAGAACAACCAGATCTGGTTGCTTTACAAGAAGTTGACAAATTCACACGTCGATCAGGTCGTCTAATCGATCAAGCAGCGCAACTTGCAAATTTGAGCCATCTCTCTCATTCGTTTTTCATTCACTCGATGAACTTTGATGATGGACAATACGGCAATGCTATTCTATCACGATTTTCGTTCGAAAATGTCAAATTAGAACACCATCTCGATGGACAAAATCGTGGTGAAACACGTTCGATAGGAATTATTTCTGTAAAAACTAGCAACGAATATCGACTTTTCTTCGGTGTCATGCATCTCGAAAGTGAAATTGAAAACTTGCGCATCGCACAAGTACGACAAGCAATCGAACTATATCGGAAAATTGTACCCGATGATCAACCTTTTATTCTTGCCGGCGATTTTAACGATTCACCAACCAGCCAAACTCTAAATTTATTATTAACGGAAGGACGTCTACTACTTCCATGTACTGAATGTCCAACAACGTATCCAGCTGATCATCCAAATCAAACGTTAGACTATATTTTGATGAATACTAAAGCATCGGCAACGTTCAAACTGAACAACTATCGCGTATCAAATATTAAAAAAGCATCAGATCACTGCCCACTAATTATGGAACTAAGATCTTCAAGTTCTTTGTTTTCAATTTTCAATTTATAGGTATTTTATAAATCAAGCTGAATATAAAAATTATTATTAAAATTGCTTATTAATTGAAGTGGAACACAAAATAAAATAGAAGTGTATCACTCTTAATATTTTAGAATGTCTAGAAAAATATCCAAATGCACTTTCGCTAAGTCAGTAAGATAATTTCCTCGCATTTTCAAACAAATTCTTAGTTAATTCGTTTGTAACGACGGTTTGGAATAAAAATCTCTCACCAAAATATTGAATGATACAAACAAACACAGATTTGTGTAGACTATACGTATATAAACCAATCGTTACAATCGTTCATCAAGTCACATTTAATACTAGCTACCAACAACCCTGTAATTACAAATATTTTAATAATAATAGGAGGAAAAGAAATGAGAAACACAACAGAATTTTGAATACAACGACAACCTCGACATTCTAATAAAATTATATTTTCTGGTATTTCTCCGAAATCTATTTGTTAGAAATAATTGCTCTTAAAAAAAACACTTTTTCAGTTTTTGTCATGATAGTTACTACAGTTGAAACAGGAATGCTTTCCGCGAAATTTTAAGCTAAAGAACTGCGTATCAATACTCACAACGCTCATCGTGCGGAGAAAAGAATGCGCTCTCGTGGGTTAAATGACGAGAAGAAAAACAACAACAAGCGAGTTTTAGGTGAAAGTAGTCAAAAAGCATATTTGTTTTTTGCGTACTCAACGTCGAAATAAAAAAATTGCGTTTTTACAAGACGCTCGTCAGTGACTATTACACTTCACATAAAAAACGAAAGGATAATTAAACATGACCTTGGCATCCTATCGAGTGTTGTTCGTTTGCTCTCTTATATCTTGGAGGTATTCACGATAATTCATTATTCACATGAAGTCGGTGTAAGTTAATAGTCACAATGTCGCACCGAGATTCAGAATTATCCAAAACGAACAGTATTATACGCTGCTGTTTCATAGAATTGACGGTCGTAAATACCTATAGATTAAATTTTTGTAAGCGAAGGACTTTGGCCGTAATTTATTTTGCCTTAGACACTCAAAAACGGTCATAAAAAGCCGCAAAAGACTGATTAGCAGAGCGTTTGTGGCGTAGTAAAAGAACTTTTTTTAATAATGCATTCTCGCTTGCAGAAAGACCATGAAATCATCTAGAATAGTCATTTACAAGCATTTGGAATTCGACTTACAACAGTTTCTACACAGTTCAGAAGTAAAAATTTATAACTCTCAGCTAAACACTGTGTTCGTTGTAATTGAATATGAGTGTGGATGTGGAAATATGGTTATCTTCACCCACACCCACACCCGTAATGCATACCCACAAGCTCGCGATGGCGGCACTTTCTTTGTTTACTCCTACTCCAGTGCGTATTTTCGTTTCATCATGTTTTTCAAAAAAAATGATGAAAGAAAGAACAAGAATGTTTTAAAATAGTATAAAAGGAGGCTTTGGCTTCCTATTTCTTCGGGCTGTAGTGTATTGGTTACACGTCCGATTAACGTTCGGAAGAATTCGGTTCAATTCCGAACTGCTTCACCAAACTTTCTTCGAAATTTCTCGAACTTTCTAGTTCGGGATAATATCCATCGGCTTTCTGTTCATGTCATACTTTATAGCAGCTCAGCCACCACTTTCTATCCAGGGAGTGCTATTGGGCCAGTGTAATATGTCTGATTGCCACCAATCTCTGTATGTTTGCTTGTTTCATTCGTTTGAATACTAAATACGAATAACAGCGGATGCAGTTGGTGGCAAGTACTCAAACACTATCGACGATAATTATTTTAACATGAAATGTCAACGCTGACTGACTGCTTTTTTCTTTATCGTTGTAATGATATTCAAAATATTTTGAGTATCTTAAGTTTCAGCTGTAAATTTACCGATCCATACATCTAATATAATCGATAGCAATTCGTCTACCTCAATCCAACAAGAGCCGTATTTTACTGTATCATCACAATTCAAAATAATTAATTTGTGCATGTTTGCAAAACCTAAAAAAGGAATAGGACGGTATCTATCTTCTCAACAACCTCTATATTTGATGTCACCTATACAGAGAGATCTAGTAGATCATATCGGGTAGTCTCCATGAGAAGCAGTGTGACTATATCGTTCGTTTAGTACCGCTATCCTCTACCGTTATCGTCGATTACCGCTTCGCTTGTTGTTACTCTTGTTATCAGTAAAATAAACGATATATATCACAAAATCGTAAGAGTAATAAAACTGCTTTTTTTTAGAGTGTAGTGATGTTGACTGAAACTCGGTTATAAAATAGATACTTTAATCATTGTATGAATTTATAATATTCATCATTTTTTCAATGAAAAAAATCATCGTCGCCTTCGTATTACATAACTACTTCATTGAAATACGATAATCACAGTCGTAATAACCAGCTTGACTCGGATTCTTCTAATATCAAAATTGAATTTAGAAGTCGAATTCTTCCGACACTGAATGTAATAAATGACAGTGCAGGTTAAGATATCGAATGATTCAATCAAACACAGATTTTTGTAGACTATATATAAACCAATCGTTACAATCGTTCATCAAGTCACATTTAATACTAGCTACCAACAACCCTGTAATTACAAATATTTTAATAATAACAGGAAGAAAAGAAATGAGAAGCACAACAGAATTTTGAATACAACGACAACCTCGACATTCTAATAAAATTATATTTTCTGGTATTTCTCCGAAATCTATTTGTTACCCATGTCGCCTCTTTTTTATCAACTGTGCCGTAGTTACGCGTAGAGCCAATTCTGCGTCGCAGTTATGCGTAACTATGACGCATTGATCGTAGTGAAGATTTCTACAAGAAACTACGCTTAGTATGACTCAGATCAACGTAACTGCGTCCTAGTGATCGCATCCTACGATCTGTTGTAGGTATAAATGGCCAATTACAAATTATTCCTCCTTATTTGTAATTGGCTACACTCGAACAATAAAACTTAGTCACAGAAAATTAGTATAAATAGTGGTGTTTATCACATTTTCGTTCATAAGTCATTCTANGGTGTAAGTTAATAGTCACAATGTCGCACCGAGATTCAGAATTATCCAAAACGAACAGTATTATACGCTGCTGTTTCATAGAATTGGCGGCCGTAAATACCTATAGATTAACTTTTTGTAAGCGAAGGACTTTTGGCCGTAATTTATTTTGCCTTGGACAGCCAAAAGCGGTCATAAAAATCCGCAAAAGACTGATTAGCAGAGCGTTCGTGGCGTAGTAAAAGAAATTTTTTTAATAATGCATTCTCGCTTGCAGAAAGACCATGAAATCATCTAGAATAGTCATTTACAAGCATTTGGAATTCGACTTACAACAGTTTCTACACAGTTCAGAAGTAAAAATTTATAACTCTGAGCTAAACACTATGTTCGTTGTAATTGAATATGAGTGTGGATGTGGAAATATGGTTATCGTTTTAACTCACACCCACACTCTCTTACGTAAGCGCTTGCTTTTTATGTTTGTCGAAAGAATCCAATATGAACATGAATGCGTTTTTTGTTTAAATATCATTATTTTCAGATTATTGTTTAAAAAGAGAGAAAAGGCTGTTAGCGCAATCCCTTTGGGATTAAAAGTGTGAAACACGATGAAACTTATTTTTTGGAATTTGTCTATTACTGTCACTGGTGGTCTGTGGAGCTTCTCTATTACGGTCTGTATTATGATATATGGAGTCTCTAAAAACCATCACAGATCGTGATAGAGAATTCGAAAACCATCACAGACCGCTACAGAGAATTCAGAAGCCATCACAGACCGTCACAGAGAATTCAGAAACCCGCACAGGCCGCTACAGAGAAATTAATTAATAATTAATTAATTAACCTATTAACTGATTAATTAATTTCTCTGTAACGGTCTGTGTGTGGGGGGGGGGGTCCAAATTTCTAC